CACCTTTTAAGAGGGTCCTGGGGGCTCTGAACTACAGTCCTCACACTTGGGCAGCTGCCACTTTACCCACTGAGTCATCTCCCCAGCCCACGCCTGGATTTTTTGTGCATGCTGGGGACTGAGCTCGGGGCTTGCAGCTTCTTTTCTGCTCTCCTGATGCTCCTTGGAACTTGGGAGGTGGCGATATAGATGCTTTATTCAGGGCTGAGAAGCCAACGATCGTTTACCCTCCGCAATCTGAACAATTATGGGTCTGTGCATTAACTAACATCACGTACTATGAAACACATTTATAACTTTTTTCTTGTGAGACGAGGGTCTCTCTCTATGTAGTCCTGGCTGGCCTTGAGCTCACAGACATCCGCCTGCCTTTGCCTCCTGAGTTTAACTGCACCCATTTATTCAACCGAGGGGAAATAAATGTCAAAAATCTGAGAAACAGAGGTGAAAATAACTATGGCCTTTGGCCGAAACCTTGGAGCTCGCCCAGCCTGGTGGGCCGGGCTTGTCCCCGGGACCTTGTAGATCGGATGCTGCCGGGACCGCTCACCCGCTCCAGCCCGAGAGGGGAGGGGCCGGAAGGAGGGGGCGAGGCCTCAGGACGCTCTGGCAGACCCCGGTCCGCACTCTATCGCCGGAAGTTGTCCTGCCTTGGCCTCCAGGAAGCGGAAGTGCAGGGGTGGCAGGCGACTGGGCTAGAGCTTCGGGAAACCGGCTTGTGAGCAGCGGCGGGAAAGGCGCGTGTCGGCTTCTCACTGGTGCAGCCTCCCCCGCCGGCGGCCGTCGCTGTCCCGCCCCGCCCGGGCGTCGTTGCTGGCAGCCGAGTGGACGGAGCGCGCGGCCCGGGCACGGGCATGGGCAGCCGGGGGGATGCGGACGCCGCGGGTGCGCGTTGGGTGACAGGTACCTGTGGCGGCGTGGGGAGGCCTGGGAGGGCCCGGAGGGGCCGGGCCGGGCCGGGGAGGCGGCCGTGAGCCCGAGTCCCCTTGGGCTTCCTCCTCCCTCGTCCGTCCGGACTCGCTTCCTCCTCCGGCGCGAGCGCCTCCGGTTGTCCCCGGCCGTCTTCGGTTGTGTGCGGCGGGCGGCGGCGGGCGCTCTCGCCGGCCGTCCCGGCTCGGGTTCAAGTGCACGAGGAGGGATCCAGGGCAAGCCTGTGACCCTAGGGTAGCCAGAGAACCGGCGCTCGGCGGGCGTGACTCCGGAGAAGGAGCCGGAGCTTCTGTAGCTCTCCGGGCTCCCTAAGTGCAATCGGGTGGTGCGTCTTGGTGGTCGTCTTCTGTGGGTGGTAAGATAGAGCTCTTGGGAATGAGACTGGACCACCCACTGCACCTGTGTGTAGCCTGTGACCTGGCCAGCACAAGGTGTGCGTGCATCCCCAACATATGGACCTCTCTTCTCGTGGACCCGAGCTCTTCTCGTTGCTTGGCTTGGCGGGACTCGCTCTTGCTCCGCGTTTGTTGCCAAGTGGGAGAAGGAGCATACACGCCTGTCCTGAGACTTGGGATCTAACCCTTACCGTGCCTTGGAAACATCTGTGCACTTGGCAAGCCTATTTTTAGCATAAAGTTCTTTCTTCCCTAGAAATGTCTTGTACACTGGCAAACGCGTGAAGACGTATATTTTTATTTGTTTGCTTCCCCTCCCCTTTTGGAGATAAGGATCTCACTTATCCCAGACTAGCCTTAGGGACTAGAGGCGCAGCCAGCCGTCGCCGGACTTGCTTGAAGACATTTTAAAGAACTAGTTAACTGTATCAAACTGGAACAGATTGTAGCGTTTCCACTTGGCTGGCTTTGCTCTCTTGGTAAACGTAGCCGAAACATTTATTTATTTATTTATTTATTTATTTATTTATTTATTTATTTATGGGTTTTTCGAGACAGGTATTGTTTTGGAGCCTGTCCTGGAACTCGCTCTGTAGACCAGGCTGGCCTCGAACTCACTGAGAGCTGCCAGCCTCTGCCTCCCAAGTGCTGGGACTAAAGGTGTGCGCTACCAACGCCCAGCGAGACTTTATATTTTAAAGTAACGTATTTATTTATGTAGTTTTTGTTCTGTGTGTGCAGGGCAACTTGATGGAGTTGGTTCCTTCCAGGGATCAAACTCAGGTCACCAGGCTTTCGTGACAAAGAGCCTTTGCCCACTGAGCCATCTCGCTAGAAGGTCTTTTTGAGAGGGGGAAAGGGGTGGGGGGGGGAGAGGGAGAGAGAGATAGAGTTAGAGGGGGAAAGAGTATGAGAGTGAGTGAGTTGTGAGTTGGAGGTGGTGTGTGTGTGTGTGTGTGTGTGTGTGTGTGTATGTATGTGTCTGTCATGGTGTACATGTGGACATTGGAGGACATTGTGAGTCTGGGGATTGAACTCAGGTCATCAAGCTTGTGTAGCAAGTGCCTTTATCCACTGAACCATCTCCCTGGCCTAAAACTATTAAAGGCAGTGAACTAGGCTATGTATAGTAGCAGGGTATCTTAGTGCACATTTAACTAGAAGGGATGGAGCTATGGAGAAATTCCAGTTGGAACTTCTTTGCAGGAATCTAATCATTTTCATTCAGATGTCCAGTGACTACTTGGAGTGGAAAGCAAATTTATGTGCTCCACAGCAAATGGTTACTAGGTATAAATTAGGTGTAAGTAATCTGCTTCTCACTTAGCCTGGATGTGTCCTCTTATTTTTCTTTGCTACTGTTGTAGCTGAAATTCAGTCTGTAGACTTGCAGATTACAGAGCTGGAGAGATGGTTCAATGGTTAAGAATGCTGGCTGCTTGAGGGAGAGGACAAGACCAGGTTGCAGAAACACAGAGACAGCTGACCTGAAAAAGGAGGACTAACGGGCCCCCAGACTGATAGCTGGGAAGCCAGCATGTGACTGACTCAGGCCCCCCCTAAATATGGGTCTCAGCCAGAAGGACTGAGCAGTCTAAGGGATCTCAGACAGTGGAACAAGGATGTATTCCTGGTGCACAAAAGGACCTTGTGGACACATCCCCCATGGAGGGATAACTGCCTTAACCTAGAGACAGGAGAGAAGCCCTAGTCCCTACTTCAAATGACTTGACAGATCTACATGACCCCACCTGGATGGCATTGCCCTACATGTAGAATTGGGGTGGGGGATGGGAGGGGAGGGTGGTCAGGGTGCATGTGAGGGGGCAGAGAGGAAGGGAGGGAGAGGGAACTGGGATCGACATGTAAAATAAATAAAATAAAATAAAAGAATGCTGGCTGCTCTTCCAGAGGACCCAGGTTCAAATCCCAGCACCCACATGGCAGCTCACAACTGTCTGTAACTCTGGTTCCATTGTCTCTTGCATCCTCACACAGACATATATGCAGGCAAAATAAAAATAAATAAGTGACATAAGCCACATACAATAATGTGCACATAAAAATAAAAAAGTTTGATAACTCTTTAGTTTAAAAACGATGAAGCAGCTAGGCCTGTGGTGATACACTCCTGTAGTCCCAGCACTACGGAGGCCGGCAGAGGCAGTAGGATTTGGAATTCAAAGTCGTCTAAGCTGCGTAGCAAGTTAGAGGCCTGCATGGGTCATAACAAGAACCAGTCTTGAAAGAGAAAAGGAAGGAATTTGGTGAGGACTTAAGAATGAATTGTCATGCCTGTTCTGTGGAAACATTGACACGCACACCTGTCACCTACAGTTTTTACATTTTACTATGGGTCAGCCAGCAAGCCTTTGTTTACGTGCTCTGGGAGCTCACAGATGGTGGAGAATAGACTCAGCCCGGGACTGGCTAGAGTCTCGCTGTTTGTCCTGTCCATCACGCTGCCATCGTTGCCCCTTCCCATGCTGTCACTTGGAATTATTCATCTTTACAAGCGACACGTCAGGACCACTGGGGTCAGAATGGCCGTGGGACTTACACACAGTGACAGCATCTTCAAACAAAAGAGTACTCCAGCGAAGTTCTTACCTGTTTGCTTCTCTGGACAAATCTCTCTGGCATCACTTAGGAGGTCAAGTGTGGGGTCAAGTTGGCATAGCGGCTCTTTAATGTATGGCCTCACCTCGTCCCCATTCCAGCCGGGTTATTCTTCTCAAGGGTATATACTTTTCTCTGAAAAAATACTGCAAGCTAGGGCAGGAGAGATGATGGCAGCAGTTAGGATTATTTACTTTTCTAGCAGGGGACCTGAGTTCTGCTCTCTGCAAGCACAACAGACAGCTTCCACAACCCCCTGTAGGTGTAGTTCCAGGAGATCCAATGTTCTCTGGTCTATTGGGCACCTGTAAACACATGGTGTACATAAATGCATAACCTTTAAAATACATTAGAAATATTGCAGCAATACCTCTGGGTATGTAGCCTCTTACTTATCCTTCCTACAATCTTGTCTTTTATCCATTTTGCTTCTTCTTGAGTGTGTCTGGGAGGTGCATTTACGCTGGTGGAGGCCTGAGGTCACTGATGAGACTCTTCTTCGGGGCTAGAGAGACAGCTCAGTGGTTAGGAGCCCTGGCTGCGCTTCCAGAGGTCCTGAGTTCAATCCTCAGCAACCTCATGGTAGCTCACAAGCATCTATAACTTCAGTTCTGGAGAATCTGATACTCTCTTCTGGCCTCCTTAGGCACCAGGCACAAATGATATACATACATACAGACAGCTAAAACACTAGTACACATAGAAAGAAGGTAGAAATATTCTTAGAAATAAAAATGAACATATATACATACATGTATATGTATATGTGTATAAAAATGTCTTCATTAGTTACTCTCTACTTTATTTAATTGCCTTGTTTGTTTTTGAGATAGGGTTTCATTATGTAGCCCTGGCAGGCGCTCCATAGATCAGTGTGGGCTTGAACTCAGAGATCCACCTGCCTCTGGCTCCCAAGCACTGGGATTAAAGGCGTGTGCACACTCACCCTGAGATAGAGGGTTTGTCCCTGAGCATCACAGTTACTTGTCCCTGAGCATCAGGCTGTCTTGTGCCCTTGTGAAATCTTCACCTCACCTCTCTTTTCCTTGTAGGGCTCTCCTACAGCATGGGACTTGTGATTGCACTGGCTTCACTGTGGTCCCTGGCAGAGGCCAATTCCAAAGCCATTACAACCTCCCTTACCACAAAGTGGTTTTCCGCTCCACTGCTACTGGAAGCCAGGTGAGGAGCTGCTCTCTTCCGTACGCGGGGTACTGTAGACTTAGGGTCTGCTAGTAAGTGGGTACGCAGTAGTGAGCTTACACTTTTCCTTTGCCCCTGCTAAGTGTCCCTTACAACGCTCACTGCTCTGTCTGCCAACTGCACAGGACTGACCCATGGGCAGGGTTAGGAGCACTGCTTATAAGAACGACAACCTAGGGGAAGAGAATGGGGATGGAAGAGGAAGGGGCTATTTGTTTTAAGCTGGTCCTGTTCTTCATTGGAGTCTCCCAAACCCGGGTACAACCTAAAATTTGGAGGTTGTTGTTGTTGTTGTTATTACTTTTATTATTTACTTTTTAGTAAGTCAGATCTTACTAATTTGTATCAACATATATACATATATTTAAAGATTTATTTATTTGTTTGTTTGTTTTTACACCACATAATACTCCCTTGTGTAACTATATTGGTCCTCGGCATGACATTAGCTTTTAGGGTGAGGAGCATATGCCTGTAATCCCAGCATTTGAGAGGTTGAGGCAGGAGGATCAGGAGTTCGGGGTCATCCTTTGGTATATAGAGAATTCAAAACCAGCTTGGGATATATGAGACAGTGATTAAAAAAGGGGTTATCGTAAGGCTGGGAATGGGTAAGTTGTCCAGACACCATCTGAAAATGTCATCATCCGGCAGCAGTAGCAATAAAGGAGGGAGAGCTTCACTTGGTGGTAGATGCTTGCTTGCCTGCCGGGTGTGAGGCCCTGGGTTCAGTCCCCAGTGCTAACCCCACCTCCACTGTGTGGGGTTAGGGTAGGAGAGCTGTGTGTTTGAGGCCAGACTGGGCTACATAGCAATTCTCTGTCACAAGTAAGCAATCAGGCCGTACACTTTAAGTATATAAAATAATTAAGACTTAAATTGATAAAATATGCAGTAAGTGATTTTTTAAAGTAATCCTTGTTTTTTTGTTCTTTTAAAGACAGGGTCTCATGTATCATGGACTTGCCTCAAACTTAATATGTAGTCAAGGGTGACCTTGAACTTCTGATCTTGTTTCCTCCTACTCATTGTTGGGATTATAGTCATGTGATATCATGCCTGGTTTATGTAATATCGGAGACAAGAACCCAGGATTTCACACATGCTAGACAAGCACTCAACATTAGAGCTGTATCTCTAACTCCTAGAGGATTTTTATGGTACATATCATGGAGTTGAGAAACCATGTCTAATACTAACAGCTCAAATTCCTCAGTTTTTGTCCAGTTTCTTTGATCACAATTGAGTATGTAGGCTGTGATGTTTCCGTCATCAACTTCCTCATGGTGTCTCTGGAATTTGCCACTTTGAGTTGTAACCTCTAGGCCTCTTCTCCAGTAAGTGTTTGCAACAGGTTGTCAAGGTATTGGGCCTTGCAGGCCACTCCCAAAGAAGCCTTGTGTATTTGTATTTGTATCATTCTGCAGTAGTTCTCAACCTGTGGGTCAAGTGACCCTTTCACATTGGAAAAGATATTTACATTATTTATACCAATAACAAAATTGTAGCAGTGAAAATAATTTTATAGTTGGGGTCACCACGAAATGAGGAATTGTATTAAGGGGTCACTGCATCAGAAATGTTGAGAACCACTGCTCTAGAGCTAGCTGAGGCCACCTTTCTTCCCTCTGTCTATGACAATGATGGTATCTCTGTGGATGAGGGCGAAGAGCTCTATGTACCAGGGCATGTAGCTGTTACAGACCTTGTTTTCCTTTCATCCAGCCCTAAGGGACTAAAAGCATTCCTGTGTATATTTTTAGATTGTGCCTGATGATTATGAAGGGACATTTTAGCTCTGTGATTGCTCATGAAGTGATACATATTTAACTGAAGTAAAACTTAATGTTTTGAGCAGCTATAGTTGCTAATAGAAATAGATATTAAAGCCAGGCAGTGGTGGCACATACCCTTAATCCTGGCACTCTGGAGGCAGAGGCAGGAGGATCTCTGAGTTTGAGGCCAGCCTGGTCTACAGATGGAGTTCCAGGACAGACTCCGAAGCAATACAGAGAAACCCTGTCTCGAACAAAACAAAACGAACAAAAAAGAAATAGATACTAAAATGGCCAAGGGATATAGAATGATAGGGTTATAAATCAGATCATATAAATTTATATTGACTACTAGACTAAGGAAACAGGATTACCACCAGATTTACAGATTCATGGAGGAAAATCAGGTTGCTTGTAGGAACACACACACAGTCTTGCTATGTAGAGACTAAGCTAACCTTAGACTTGTGATCCTTCTGCCTCTGCTTCCCAATAATAGTTATTGGATTATAGGCAGAGCCACCAAGCCCAGCTAGCTTCCTTTTTATTTTTTTCATAGATGAAATCTTTAGCAAGCTCATGGCAGCTTCCTTATTTGGAAAGTGGTTGTAATTGATGGTGGCTGTGAGGACTTTACACTTAGTGAGTATGCCAAGTGCATACTCATCTAGTCTTGTGTAAGACTTAGCTCATCTCCACAGTAACGATGGAATTATAGAATATGCTTGCCACATACTATCTGGTATATGTTTAAGCTGTTTTAGTTTTTTTTCTTTGTTTTCTGTAGATGAAGAACTTTTTATTATGATGTTTTAAAAGTATGTATCAATAAAGGAATGGTATGTGTTCTCCTGTACACATGACCCATTTTAACAATGATTGGGGCTGGATGTGGCTCTGTAAGTAGGTGCTTCTCTGGGTTGTTGGAGGCCCTAAGTTTTACACACCCAGCATCAAAGAGCAGAAAAACCAGTGTGGGTACAGTAACCAGTACTATCCCCTTCCCTAACTGAAATGTTTCATAGCATAGGAATTCAAAGCTAAAAAGCATAACAGAGCAATTAAATAGCAAAGTTAATTATACTACACAAAAGCTAGCATATTTCCTTGTAATAACGTTTCCTATTACTCTCTTTTCTGCTGGATCATTCCAGGGAATTTAGTTGTTTTCTTAAGACTACCACAATCATAGATTTCTGAAGTAGGATAAAAATTATGTTTGAAGAAAATTGTTTGATTATATGAAAAGTATATTTAGCCCGAGTGAGTCCTTGATTTGTCTACTTCTGGTGAGTAAGTATGCCATCTCCCCTTAGTTCATGACTGCTGTCCTTTTGAGTCCTTTTGCATAGCATGACATCTCAGTACCGGTCTTCTTAGAGTGTAAGCCATGCTAAGGTGAGTCTAGTGCTTTATATCAGTACCGGTCTTCTTAGAGTGTAAGCCATGCTAAGGTAAGTCTAGTGCTTTATATCAGTTGCTAGACAGCCTAGAAAAAAAGACTGATGGAGGCACTAAAATTAATATATTTATAATAGTGGGTAATTTTTGAAACCCATTTTTAGAGAAACTGTGTTTCTTATTTTCCCATATTTCTGTGTTTAGCTGTGGAGTAGAGTGAGAGTTGAACACCCCAGTGTAGGCAAGTAATGGGCAGGCCTTCCTTTGGTAGGTAAGCTGAGGTCAGTGTTGGCAGTAATGGGCAGGCCTTCCTTTGCTAGGTAAGCTGAGGTCAGTGTTGGCAAGTAATGGGCAGGCCTTCCTTTGGTAGGTAATCTGAGATCGAGATCTGTAGTTTGCTTTAAGACAGTGAGAGGTAACCACCACTTAGCTCCAGTGAGGAGCACCAGTTCACATGAATCATTCATTCAGCAGCTTTAGACTTGAGTGAAAAGAAATTCAGGAAGGCCATTATATTAGGGTAATAGTGTAAAGCTGAAAGAGATAATAGTTCGTAGATTTGATTTTGTTAGATATGTGCTGATTATAAGCTTAAAAAAAATGGTGACCTTGAATTTTTTTTTTTTTTTTTTTTTTAGATATTAAATGTACCTTTATTCTTCAAGAAAATTTGTAGGGTTCATGTTTCCTGTGGGAGGACACCTTAAGCTAAACCTATTTGTTCTTTGTAAGAACTTTCAGAAAGAGTATGGGCAGAGCTATTGTCAGAATGGCCAGTTCCTAACTCTGCTTTCCCTGCTGATGAGTTCTAATGGGTTTCATGAGTCATTTGTATATTAGGGCTTCCCTATTTTTATAACATTTTTATTGTTCTAGGTTTCTTAAGAAATAGCTACTGAATGAACAAGTTATTAAGCTGTTATTTATAGCTAGTGTGAAACAAGAAAGCTTACTTTTCATTGAAAAATATACATTATACTTACAGATGTATAATACATATATACACATACATGTTTGTGTATATATGTGTGTATATACATATATAAATAAATTAAAAGCCAAACTATAGACATTTGGGAATGTAAATCCGCTTTTATTCTCCCTAGCAATATAGCCTGTGATGGAAGATTTTATTGTCTCATTGCTGATGTCTCCCACTTTTCTCCCAGTGAGTTCTTAGCAGAAGACAGCCAAGAGAAATTTTGGAGTTTTGTAGAAGCCAGTCAAAATATTGGATCATCAGATCGTCACGGTAAAATTGAAGCAACTATTTGTTTGACTTTGTGGTCTGGGAAAATGTTGTAATAAAATGGTCTCTTTTGTATAGTATATGTAACATGGCAGTTAATGGAAAACACTACTTTCTTTAATGACTAGAGTTGTCATGGTAGGAAGATTGAACCCAGTGCGTGGGAAACCTGTGCTATGCCACTGAGCTATTCCCAAGCCCCTACTGACTTAGACCAATACATTTTTATTTTCCTTTTCAAGAGATGTGGTCTTGCTTTGTGACCACAGTCTGATTACACAGTCCTACTGCTTCAACCTCTTGACTAATTGGGGCTGTTGGTAGACACTACTATGTGTAGCCACAAATCATTGTGTGTGTGTGTGTATGACTGCAAATAATGCCTTTCTTCCCATTGCTTTTGCTCTGTTGTGCTCTTGTTAATGTGCTTTGGGACTACTTAGTGGAAGAACATTTTATTTTAGATCATTTAGCATTAAGACTTTATCTGTCTGATTGATTCTGTCTTCTATTATGAACTAATTACACCACTGATCTATTTGTGTTATGTGAGGAAGATGCTGGCATAAGTTTTGGGCCTGCACACACATGTAGGCATGTTCATGTCCCCTTGTGTTCATATATATACATGAGTGTATACCACAATCACACACATGCCAAAGTTAATATTTTTCCTTTTAAAACTTTGACCATACTATATAGTCAAAGCTAAGTAAAAGTTGGGTATTCCTTGTCTCTGTCCCTTGTATCTGTTTGCTTGCCTTTAAAAGCCTTTTTACATTTATTTCGTAGTGGTTTTTTTTTTTTTTTTGGACAACACACACATTTGCACACACATTTATATTGCAGTCTTTGGCAAAAGTGACTGCTTGCTTTGTAACAAGTTTTGTACTTTTGCTTTTCATTTATTAGAGGACTTTTTCATACTAGCATACAGATTTCTTTTCCCTCTAAATAATTTTGCCTAGCTTTTTTGTTTAAGTACTTATCACCAACTTTTATGATACTGTCAGTGCCCTTTAATATCTTTTTGTACTCCTTAGTGTTTTGCTTCTTTAGCTATTTGAGTAGAGGGCACAATCTAGGTTCTGAGAGTACCAGGGTGTATATTATTGCCTCTCTGTGTAGGTGTCCAAAGTCGTAAATATGTACTTTAGTAAATGATGTGGCAGACAGACATTCTCAGACCCAAGGAGTGGTGTAAGTGGTCTCTGGAAGCACAGAGTAGAGATGAAGTCTCTCCTGAGGGAGTGGCTTCTTAGCTGAATTCCTCCAGGAGCAAGCCGTCCCGGTGAAGGAAGGTAGCAGTGCAGGCAAGCGGGCTAGTTTAGAGCAAGGGAAGGGGTGTCCACCTGTATCGTGGACCTCCGGTAATCTTAGCCACTTGACAGAAAGAAGCTCAAGGTGGGAAGAGTTGATTGTCTATGTCTGTTTTGTACTGTATGAACTGTCTTGTTCGGTTATCCACAGACGTGCAATTGTTCTGGTTAATGTGCTTCTTTGACAGATACCGATCAATCCTATTATAATGCGATACTGGAAGCCGCCTTTCAGTTTCTGTCACCTTTGCAGCAGAATTTGTTGAAATTTTGTCTCTCTCTCCGCTCCTACTCAGCCTCAATTCAAGCCTTCCAGCAGGTAAGAAGACACCGTTGCATCTAACAGACAGCATTTTGTAGGGCGAGGTGGTGATTCAGTTGATTGTCGTTCTCTTGGGAGTGACTTGCAGTCACCACTTTCTTTGTCTGATACTTTCTGGGATTTATGATTTATTTTTAAATCATAACAAAACTGATGATTTGGTCTTGAATGTGCAGGCAAATAAATAAATTCTACCACTGAACCGTATCTCCTTACCAATCACAGGTGTATACATTTTCATTTTTCTTGCATCGGAGTTGGACTTGGGTCTGAACTCTGTCTGTCTGTCTGTCTGTCTGTCTGTCTGTCTGTCTGTCTGTCTGTCTGTCTGTCTATGTTGGCTTTTTGAGACAGGGTTTCTCTGGGTAGCTTTGGCTGTCCTGGCACTCGCTCTGTAGACCAGGCTGGCCTAGAACTCACAGAGATCTGCCTGCCTCTGCCTTCTTAGTGCTGGGATTAAAGGTGTGCACCACCACTGCCTGGCTGGATTTGAACTTTAAGGGATGGTTTACACTTATTTTCTTGTGATAAATGAAAAGATTGCTGTCCCGGAGCACGTGGCAGCCGGATGCTAGTATGCAACACCGTCTGGAAGATGTAATCTTGCTGAACCAGTGAACCTGAGTCTGATCACAATCTTTGGATCTAAGAGCAGGAGATACAAGAGCCAGGAAGTGTCAGGCACCACTGGGGGAATGTAGTCCAAAACGTCTAGGATTCGAGAAACAGTTTAGTAGAGGGGTCTGGGACCCTCGGTGGACAAATGCACAGGGAAAGAGAGGGCATAGTAACGTCAAGAGGCCCTCAGAGGGTCACCGCAGGGACCCTGTTTGGTTTCCAAAGGGGAGCACAAGAGAGGGTCAGATGTGTTCATACCAACTAGACATTTGTGTGAGAGGAATGTTGATTTTAATACCATCCTGTATTATAAAACAAAGCAAAACAGATGGCAGAAAACTACTCACGATGGATGAGTCACAGGATGGGTCACTGAAGTGAGCACCCTTGTGACTTTGACTAGGCCAAGAAGTGATTTTTCTCTGGCCACCCATGAAGCCCTCCATGGACTGTCTGTCATGGCTACCTTTTGTCTTCCCAAAGAAAGCATGTTGCTACTTCCTGTCAGAGTCATCTCATGTACTTTTGTTTTTAAGTTGTTTTCTTGCCCAAGAATGCATCTGTACCCAATAGAATTTAATTTTGTTCTGTTTTAGAAAATGTTAAAACTTTGGCAGAGGGTCTGTTGATTGTTTTTGTTGTTTTGTTATTCTTTGTAGCACAGGCCACTTTTGAATTTTCCATCGTCCTACTCCAGCCTCCCGCGTGTTGGGATTATATGTGTGTGTTGCTGTCCTTAGCTCCTCTTTTCTTTGTCTGTGTATCCCGTGGACTGTGTTATACTTTTCATGCACTCAGTTTTGCTGATCACTATTTATGATGCAGTTTAACATATTCCTCTGCCTCCTATTTCTTGTAAAGAGGTAGCTCAGACCAGAGGCTCAATCAGAATTACATTTCCTTCCTTAGACAAGTCTGCAGGTAATGTTCTCGCCATTCACTAGGGGACGCAAATGTCTGTCTGATTTTCTTTTTCTCCTTTTCTCCTTTCCTCAGTCTCTCCCTCCCTCCTTTCCTTTCTTCCTCCTCCCCCGTTTCTTGCTAACTCAAAATTTTTCCTTATAATTATATTCTTCCCACTCTTTAGTACCTCTTAGATCCTTCAAGTTCCCTCCTCACCCATCTTTATGTTCAAGCAAACAAACAAAAAAAGGAAAAATAATAATTACCCACTGCACAAAAAATAGAAAATTAAAACAAACTATAAAAGAGGAATCAGTTATGACAAAAATACCAAAACAAAACAAAACAAAACAAAAAGCCAACAAAAAACTGTGGCGCTTGTTTTGTGCTGGCCCACTACTCCTGGGCATGGGGCCTGCCTTGGATTATGAATGATGCAGCTGGTGATACTCCATTGGAGAAGGACGATTTCCCCTTTCCCAGCAGCTATCAGTTGCAAACAGATTCTTGGTGAGGGGTGGGACTTGTGTTTACTTCTCCTTCTTAGTGCCGGGATTTTGTCTGGTTTGGACCTGTGCAGGTCTTGTGTGTGATGTTAGAGACTGAGTTCATATGCTTATCGCTCTGGAAGACCCTGTTTGCTTGGTGTTATCCAACACCTCCGCCTCTTCTTCCAGATAGATCCGTGAGCCTTGAGGGGAGGGATTTGATAAAGACACCCCATGTAGAGCTGAGTGAAGTCTCTCGCTCTGCACCTGTCCAGTTGTAGAACCTTTTAAGTTATCATCTACTGCAAGAAGAAGCTTCTGATGAGGATTGAGTGTGATGCCCTGCTCAGTGGTTAGAGCAATATTGTCATGAGAAGCGATTTTATTGCTGTGTTCCTTTAGTAGGGTAATAAATAATAGTATGTTTTCTCTGTAGCTTTGTCTTGTATGTTCCGTATCATCAGGTGGGCCTTAAATCCAATAAAAAGTGGCTGTTTATTCCTATAACACTTTTCACTGTTAGACCAGGTATTTTGGTTGGCTGTGTGGCTGCGGTGAAGCTTGAACTGCCTCCTGCTCTCTGGTGCCGGACTCACAGGTGTACCCCTTCAAGCTTGCCCATCAGAGCTGCGAAGCTGAGACTATACAGAACTCTCCAGAATGTTAATTCTCTTTGTTTTCTTTCTTCCCCTATTACTCTTAGCAACCAGAATCCTGCTTTCTGCTTTGTGACTATACCCATTGTAGGTACCTCATATGAGTGCCGTCTTACAGTCTGTCCTTTCCTGTTTGTTTCCAGAAGCACAGTTTTCAGTGCTCATCCATGTGTGGCATGCGTTAGGTTCTCGCTTTTATTTTCTGCTGAGCAATACTCCACTGTATGTGCATATCACGTTTTGTTTGTTTATTCATTCGTTCCCTGGCTGACGTCTGACCCTTACAATAGCGCTGCCTGGAGCACTGGCGTCTGCTGAGCTTCTGTTTCTAGTTAGTTCTGTTCTTTGTATGTGAGGGGCCGCATGGAGACTACATGCTTAACCTCTTACTGGCAGGGTTGGGGATTGAACCCAGGCCTTTGCACACCTAAGCAGTTACTCTATGGTTGGGCTATGTCCTTGGGCCCCTGTATTGGATAATGTAATGAAGCACTAAGCTGCTTTATATAGTGACTGTCCGCTTTTACGTCCCACTCATAATGTTCTGGGCTCTTAATTTCTCTATCTGCCTCAACATTTTGGTTTTTCTATTTCTTTCCCTTTCCCTTTTCCTTTCCCTTCCCATCCCTTCCCTTCCCTTCCCTTCCCTTTTCCTTTTCCTTTTCCTTTTGAGCTTAGGGCTGGCCATTTTGGCAGGTCTGCCTGCCTAGCTTGTTCTGGGGCTCACCTGTCTCTATCTCTCCCACCCAGGGCTTACTGGAGGGTTCTGAGAATCTGAGCTCTGGCCCTCATGCTTTACCCACTGAGCCTTTACTTAGTCCTGTAGAGCTTTATATTCATTTTGATGTGTGATTATTGTTCTTACCTGTTAGAGGTTTCTGTAATGCTAAGGAAATACATTAGTATATTACTGAGATTCCCTGCTTGTTCTCTTGTATCTAAAAGAAAAAGTTTATCTAAGTTATGTGTACGCATGTGCATGTGCCACCCTCAGATCCTCTACAAGGGCAGTGTGCACTCCAGAACCTTCTCTGTAGCTTCCCCTCCTGCGCTGTTTTTATTTGGACTTTTTCTTCCATCGTGTCTGTCCTACTTTAAGAACTTTCTCCTTAACGTGGGGCCTCGTCCTAGAAGGGAGTCTTGGCTTGTGATTTATGCAAGATACTGAGCAAGTATACCACCTCAGCGTCTCTGAGGTGCCTAGTACTGTCTGATGCTAGCGTGGACAGAAGCCATTGGCCTACCATACTTCCCAGTGAAAACCTGTTGTCTGTTCTCAGGGTCCTTACTTCTTTGTCCTTGACCCTATAATCTGGCCTCTGCCTTCGGATAACTGATATTACAAATGTGAGCCATTGTGCCTGGCTTGTTTCTTTTTTGAAATTAATTTTAATTTAAATTAAAGACAATTTTATTTTTTTCATACCAATCCCAGTTCCCTCTCCCTCCTGTCCTCCAATTGCCCCTAACATACCCCTCCAGCTTGTTTCTGTAGATTTTATACAATTCACTTAAATGAGGGACTTCCAATTAATTTACACATCATCTTTAATTAGAACCCCATAATTCTACCTTGGCACTTTATTTTTTGACATATTTATTTTATGTGCATGAATGTATTACTCACATTCATGTCTGTACCATGTGTGTGTGCCAGATTCCTGTAGAGGTCACAGGAGGGTGCCAGGTTCCCCTGGAACTGAATTTATGCACGGTTGTGAACTGCCATATGGGTGCTGAGAATTGAATTGGGCTCTCTGCAAGAGAAAGTGCTCTTAACTTCTGAGACGTCTCTCCAGTCCTATTTCGTTCATTTATAATCACCTTAGTCTTTTTCTTAACCTCCATTTCCCTTTTTTTATCCTCTTCCTTGTGGAACACTCCTCAACAGATTTGCCTGCTAATTCCGTATCTCCCTTCTGTGTGTGGCCACTGAGCTTAGTTAGAGTTTCTTCAAAGAGCACAGGTAGGTAGGAGGTTATTTACCGGAGCAGGGCAGCTCCACGGTAGCTGCATCATTGAAGAAATGTCACCCCTCTGCCATCAGTCGCGGGGAGTTGTCGGGTGAGGCTCTTTGTCTGTGATGCAGTTAGAAGGACCTAATCTTGTACAGACTGTGCGGATAACCACAGCTGTAGTGAGTCTGAGCAAAACTGCTGTACGTTCAGAAGATGTATTTGTCCTGCACGTCTCCCCATCCTCTGGCTCGTATATCTTTTTTTTTTGTTGTTGTTGTTTTTGTTTTTGTTTTTTTGCTTTTCGAGGCAGGGTTTCTCTGTGGTTTTGGAAGTTGTCCTGGAACTAGCTCTGTAGACCAGGCTGGCCTCGAACTCACAGAGATCCACCTGCCTCTGCCTCCTGAGCGCTGGGGCTAAAGGTGTGTGGCACCAACGCCATTCTTTCTGCAGTGCTCTTTGATCTTTGGAGGAGGTGGTAATAGCTGTACCATTCAGGGCTGTCCTCTGACATCACTTATCTTGGCACTATGGTCAGTTCTAGTTTTCTGTGGAAACTGATACTTCACCGCAGTTAAAAGTGTCTCCAGGGAGGGCATGGACACACCACTAATCTGTGGGTAGAAACATGAATAAGTATTTAGAAAGCTATCTGATGACACAATCAAAGTAGTAGTAGGTTCTTTTCTAGGATTCCCCCGTCCCCCATCACGTGCACCCTTGAGCTTAGGTCGTGTTGACATTTTAAGGGGCAGAACAGACGACTCAGTTGGGAAGATGCCTTTCCATCGAGGTATGGTCGCATACACTTGTAACCCCAGGGCTTGGCGGTGGGGGACAGACAGGGAGAGCCCTGAAGTTCATTGCCTTCTCATCCATCTGGATTAGCGAGCTTCAGGTTCAGTGAAAGAGCCTGTCTCAAACTTGAAGAGTGATCCAGAAAAGACACTCCATGTTAACTTCTGACATCAACATGCATGTGTACATGTACGTGTACAAAACCCTCTGCCGTATTGAGCTAAGGGGTTTTTGAAGGTCTACCCTAGATTCATCTTGTGATAGTCATCTGATATAGAGAGAATTTCTCTTTCTGTTGTAGGATCACAATACTAGTACTGACCTGGAGTGATGTGGAGGAAACTGAGTATCACAGCCAGCCGGAGATCTGGCTGGGGGCGTCCCTACGCCTTGGCCCACAGTGGGTGCTCAGATGGCAGCCTTTGCTTTCATGGTGGTGGAGTATCATTTAGGCACTTGCTCATTAAAGCACAGATCCCTATGTGAGTAGCACTGTGTTTTGTCTTCCCTGACAGATTGCAGTTGATGAGCCCCCGCCACAAGGATGCCAGTCATTCTTTTCAGTGCATGGGCAGCAGACCTGTGACTTTGGTACTCTGGAGGACCTTCTACTAACTGCACCCGACAGGTAGGTGGTCTTCCTTCATTTCAGTGTGGTTCACATCCTGAGCCTTTCCTCTTATGTGTGCTCTCTGAGTTGATTGAATTTTGTTTCGTTTTCTTCCTTATTTCTTTGTTTCAGATAGAGTCTTAGTATATAGTTTTGTAGATCAGGCTAGTCTCAAAACTCACAAAGATTGGCCTGCCTTTCTTCCAGGGTTCTGGGATTAAAGGCATATGTCCCCATGCCTGGCTGATTTTTGTCTCTAGTTTGTTGAGAAAAGGTATTGATTTGTTGTCCAGCCTGGTCTTGAACTAGCAGTCTTCCTACCTTGGCCTCCCAAATGCTAGGGTTGTAAACGTCATACATGGCTGGCTCCTCTGATTTTCTTACCTAATCTAATTATGTACTAGGGTATGGAAACTAGCTAGAGACTGACCATGAACATTAGCTCCATTACTTTTCCAGATAACTTAGCTTATGTCAAGTAAGAAAAAAGAAAAAAACCTAAGTAGCACAGTTTCAGAAAGCTAGATATCCATCGTGACAGTGATGATAGGCGTGGTGGCAGGAACACAGAGCTGAGAGATCACACCTCCTTCACACACAGGGGACAGAGCAGGGACTGGAGTTGCCAGGACTAAAAGCCTGTGCCCATTGCTGGTGTTCTCTGTGTGCAACGGTTTATAGCTTCCCTCCAAACTGTGTCACCAGCTGGGGGCCACACGTTCAAATACATGAGCCTGTAAGAGACATTTTTCACTCAAACCACAATAGATCAAGCCTTTTAATGTCTTGATTACCAGTCTTAAGTGTGATGGGGGCTGGGGAGGTGGCTCGGAGGTTAAGAGCACTGGGCTGCTCTTCCAGAGGACCTGAGTTCAATTCCCAGCAACTACATGGCAGCTTACAACCGTCTGTAATGAGATCTGGCGCCCTCTTCTGGCCTGCAGACAGAAGACTGTATACATAACAAATCCTAAAGCAAACAAGAAGTGTGGTGGTTTTGGCTTTTTTGTTTGTATATTGAGAAGCTTAAAAAAATGAAGAGGAAAACTGAAAAGTTGAATTCATTAGTAGGGAGATCATACCAGCAAACATGGAAGGGAAACTTGCTGTAGCTTACAAGTTCCATACTCAAAGACATCACATGCTGCTCACCTTATTTGCCCTTATATTTTCAGATGAAATTGCAGTCATACCCCACATGGTAGAAAGACACCCTGTAGATTAATCCTATAAGAGTGGGTATGCACTGTGGCTTCCCTTCTCTTCCTTTTTAGGGATTGATAATATTTAACCTGTCAGTATTTTATAGTTAATATTCATGCAATATACTTTTATTTTTTATGGTCACAAATGAGTAAAATTCATATTTGACAGATCCAGACTGTGATGCTGTTTGTATTAAAGATATTTAGAATCTTTGCTAAGTTTTAAAAATCATTAAAAATGTCCTGGTTTTTGTTTTAAAAATGTTAAATTGAAAATTTTAAACTTTTATTGTTTATTTTCAGACCTAAACCTTTGTTGTTCAAAGGAGACCACAGATATCCCTCATCAAATCCTGAAAGTCCAGTGGTGATTTTTTACTCTGAGATCGGCCATGAGGAATTTTCTAATATTCACAATCAACTTAAATCAAAAAGCAAAGAAGGCAAAATTAATTATGTATTCAGACATTATGTATCTGTAAGTATTGACTTATTTTATAATTTCTTGAATATTAATTTGTTTCAAATGACCTTAAAACATAAACTTACTCTTTTTCTCTTTAAAAACTAATTTAGTTTGAACTACTTTTTTGGGGTAAATCCAATACTTTCTGTCAGGTATCTCTTTCTGTCTTTGCTTTTCACTCATCTTTTTTCTACCCTTTTCTCCCTCCCTTTCCATTTTTTTTTTTTTTTTTTGAGACAGGGTCTCATTGTGTGGTTCTGACTAGTGTAGAAACTTACCATGTAGACCAGGCTGCCCTCAAACTCACAGAGATTCACCTGTCTCTGCCTCCCGAGTGCTGGGATCAAAGGGTGTGCTACCACATTCGACACTTTTCTGATAGTCTCTTTTTTAATTTTCTCTCTTTTATCTTGCACCTCCTGTTTTCTCCCCATGTCCTCTGGAGTCTTCCCATGCCTAGATTCATCCATCTCCTCTTTCTGCCGGGAAGTCCTGCCTAACCTTGCTATTGGCCATTCTCTTCTTTATTAAACCAATCAGAAGGAGCCTTGGCAAAGACACATCTTCACAGTGTACAAAAAAGCTATCCCACACCAGCTAGTACTTTTAACTGCTGAGCCATCTTTCCAGCCCCCACTAGAAGCATTGAAATACAGTAAAGAAACACACACACACACAACACACACGCCACACACACAGACAACACACACACACAACACAACACAACACACCACACACACCACACACACACACACACACACACACAACACACACACACACACATACACACACACACCACACACACACACACACACACAGATAACACACAGACACACACACACACAGACTCAACACATTGTTTGTGCCTGGGGTCTCACCAGCTTTCTCTTTGTTCTGTAGGTTTTGGAGTTGAGTTTTAAAACTACAATATTTATTTCTTTGAGAATTTCATTTATGTAAATAATGTATTTTGCTCCTACTCCTCTCCTACAAGTCCCCACTAAACACCACTTCTCTCTCTTTTTCTTGTTTGAAATGACCCACTAAGTCTAGTTAGTTCTTGTCACAGTCCCATTGTAGCCTTCGTATAGGTCCCCACGGGGGAGTGTGTCGGCACGAAGAAATGAACTGTCTGACCACCAGATGAGTTTCACACGAGTGAGTGGTCCTGAGTCGCTCTAGCCGTCCTTATTTATATATCAAAAAGAAACATGTTTTTTCACACTAACAAACATGGCTTTCCAACTCTCCAACATGAACCTCTGGTAAAAACATATGTGTCAAATTTGTTTTTTCCTAACTTCTACATCCAAACATCTTTAAACCGAAAACAACATTTAATCATTTTTCTAGCATGGTCAAATATCAAGCCAGGTACATCCTGTCTTTACAAAACTAAAGTGTGGCTGACATCAGCACACATTTTCAAGAACAACAGTCTTGTTCAAAACATATTTGCAGAAATTGGGGTGATCTGCCTCCAAACCTGTTAGCACTGAATCAGAACAACTCCCTGGGTCTGAAGTGACAGCTGGCATCCCCCACACAGGAAACCTGAGAAGCCTCAGCTCCCAAAGAGTTTAGGGGAAAAAATGGGGTTTCCAGGAATGACCACATCTGTCCCATCCATGATTGACAAAGTGACACTAAAACCAACAAGAGAATCATCAGTATTATGAGAGAGAAGAGAGCATTCAGGCCGCATGGTCCCAGTCTGCGCTGTCCCAAGGTCCCCTGGTCCTTGCTGAGTGAGACTGTCCCTGTGGGCTTTTGCCTCCTGGAGGCCCCCTGGACAAGCACTCATATTCTGGTCTGAAACTAGGCTGCACGGCCTCCCACAAGTACTGCTCTGCTCATACGTGCATGGCTCTGGGGCCATGCACTGGAGCATGGGAACCCTGCCAGTGGCTACACCCTCAGAGGAAAGTAACTCTTCGGGCAGCCATCTCAGGCAGTAGCCCTTCAGCAAGAGGTTAGTTAGGAAGTGAGCTCCTCTCCCACCCGGGCTGTGCAGATCTTCTATAGCTAGCCACAGTTGCTGTGAGTTCATGCGTGCAGCTGCTGTGTCAAGCCCCTTCCCTTCTTCCGTTCCCTCTGCCCCTCGTCTGCACCTGCGCTGGCCCTGAGCCTTGGGGAGGGCAGTGGATGCAGGTGTCCTGCACGAGGTGCACACGCGCAGTCACCTCTCTCAGTACGTCAAGCAGGTGAGAGTCTGTTGTGAAGCAGAGTCTGCTGCAGACAGAAGCTCTTGACCACACTTGAAAGCAGCACTAATCTACGGGTGTAAACATAAATGTCTACATGTAAATATGTAGAAGTCGTTTGACAAGACCATTAAGCAAAAATAATAACAGTTCCCCCTTAGAGCCTATGACATACCCGGCCATTGGAGTTTGACCAGGTTTACAGGGATTCAGTCTCTCCTGTGTAACGGTGTAAGCGTTCCGAGTCCAATGAGGAAGCCGTAGATTATCCCGCTGACAGGCTTGCTATTATTGTACCAGTGGGAATGTCTTGCCTGGCAGTCAGTATGGTGGTAGCTCGTGGGCTCCAGCACCGGCTAAGACCATGGGTGTCTTTTTCCCCCTAGTGGGCTCCATAGCACCTTCCAGCACTGTTGAGATCTAGCCAGCAGAGAGGAAACTTGCCGGTCCGTTCCAGAATTAATTTTTCCTATGTCTCGCAACCAACGTGTCTGGTCTGGTGTCTTTAGCAATAGGGTTTTATACCTATTTATAACAGGCGACCAAGAGCAGTGGCATCAGCTTGTATTGTTAGGGGGCCTCTGGGGCTACCCTGACGAATAACACATAATAGAGAGGGATCCCATTCCTGGCACATGGGTTTTTATTTAATACCCAGTATCTTCTTGGAGCAGCATTGTTCACCCATGCAGGATACCTGTACTTAAAAGACACACATATATTTTAAAGACTTAATTGTGTATTTTTAATTTATATGAGTGTGTGAATGCCTGCATACATGCATTATACATACATGTATTCAGTATGTATACCGTATGTGTGCCTGGTGCTTGCAGAATGTAGAAGAGAATGTCAAGTCCCCTGGAGCTGGAGTTTTACAGGCTGTGATATGTGGGGGCTGAGAACCAAACCCAGGTCCTCTGTAAGAACAGCTAGTACGCTTAACCCCTTAGCCAGCTCTGCAGCCCCACAACACATAATTTTCATTTAGCTTTAGAGTAGTGGGTTTCCATAAGATTTTTCATATAGCCTTAGTTTTGTTTCTACCTTGAAATTCTCATTCCCATAGTTGTGGCAAGATTGAAACTATAAAGGAGTCTAGGATTTCCTAAGGAGGGAAACAGATTATAGATTGATTTTGTTCACAGATAGGATGAATGTTTTGTTGGTAGGCAAGGACCTCTCTTGCTGTTGATTGTCACTAACTCTTTTGAATACATAGTTAGGAACTTTACATATCAATTTCTAAATAACTTAGTGTTTTTGAGATTGTAATATAATTCTATCATTCCCTCCTTTTCTTCCCCAGCCCCTTGTATGTACCCCACCACCTTGGTTTTGTTCAAATTCATCCCTTTTTTTCTCTTGTTGTTAAACATACAAATGTCTTTGTAAACACACACACACATATGCACACCCACAACCTGCTCAGTTCATATGATGTTACTTGTACATATGTATTTCAGAACTGGCCTGCCATTTGGTATTAGATAACCAATTGGTGCGCTCTTCCATGAAGTGTCACCAATGTGACCCGAGCAGGGACGAAGCCAGTAGACACATGCTAGCAAGTGAGGGAACTGTGTGCCTCATAAGAGCTAAGCGGTGATGGAGGGACTCTTGCTCTATTTGCAGAACCCCAGGAAGGAGCCAGTTTACCTCTCTGGCTATGGCGTGGAATTGGCAATTAAGAGCACGGAGTACAAGGCCAAGGATGATACTCAGGTGAAAGGTGAATTTGTAAAATAAGACCAGTGTGTTCTCTTGTCTTTAAATATGAGTTAATGGGAAGTTGCTTCCCAAGTTGAGAAAGAACAGGATGAGGAGCGTGATGAGCCAGGGTTTGCATCTTGGTCCTCTTACATCTGAGTGGGTGACCTTCAGCAAATTTTCTAGGTCCTGATTTTTGTATTCTGTAATATATAGGCAATGATAGCTTCTTTTTCAAGTATTTAAGAGAAGTAAGGCATATAGGTCAAGAATTTGGGGTTGCCGGGTGGTGGTGGCACACACCTTTAACCCCAGCAATTGGGAGGCAAAGGCAGAGGCGGGCAGATCACTGTGAGTTTGAGGCCAGCATGGTTTACAGAATGAGTTCCAAGACAGTCAGGAATACACAGAGAAAATCTTTCTTTAAAAAAAGGAAGACTTTGGGATAGATCTTTTGTGCAAGCTTACAATCTTAGCTCTATAGCAGGAGGATTATAGTTCAAGTCCTATCTGGCCTATATAGTAAGTCCCTGTCCCTAAAATAAAAACAAAAAAAAGTTTAGTATAGTTTTTTCCTGCATAAAGTGATTTTTAAGCAGTTTCAGCTGTTGTTGGTGTTATATGTATCACATAGGCATTAATGTATGATTTCAGGGTGAAAGTATACATATCCAAGGCTTAATGGATAATTTTGTGTTTTTATTATTATTTTAGAATAATTTACTTTGGGTTCTTCCTGCCATAATACTATGTGATTTAGAATTATTAGTGTTGTTGTTATTATTATTATTTTTGAGACAGGGTCTTTCTATGTAGCCCTAGCTGCCTTAGAGCTCACTACATAGACTAGGCTGGCCTTGAATTCACTGAGATTCTCTTGGCCTCTGTTTCCCAAGTGCTGTGACTAAATTTGTGTATCACCACATCCAGTCCTGAATTCTCCTTTATTATTTTTCCTTTGTACTATGTGTGGTATTGAACTCAGAGTCTTGTCTTGTATATGTTACACAAAAACTCTGCACTTCACCACTGAGCTACATCCACAGTTCTTTTTTAATGTTTTTTCTTTGTATTTGAGACAGGCTTTCACTAAGTTATCCAGCCATACTAAATTAACCAGGCAAGTCTTGAACTTGGTCCTGCCTCAGCCTTCCAAATAGCTGGGATTATGGTGTGTGATATTCTCTAAGCTCATTTTAAACATAAAAATGATTGATTTGAATCATAAAACAAATGGAAAATGATGGTAGTTAGGATTCCGTAACTTAGATTGTTTAGAATTTAATTGTGAATACAACCTTCATAATATTTAAATCTATAATTTTGAAATTTTTAATTTAAAATTTTCTAAGGCTACAGAAAAGATGTATTTTTTGTTTGTTTGTTTGTTTTTGTTTTTTGAGGCCAGATTTCTCTGTGTAACAGTCCTAGCTGTCCTGGAACTAGCTTTGTAGACCAGGCTGGCCATGAACTCAGATCTGCCTGCCTCTCCCTCCTGAGTGCTCAAATTAAAGGTGTGCGCCACCGCCCGGCAAGAAAATGAATTGTTACTTTGTCCAAGAACAGAAGAAATATTAAAACACTGTTGGTTTAAAAGCCTACAGTGAAATGTTAATTGAAGCATTTGACATTTCTTTTTAACATTCAAACTTTGTGAAGTTAACATTTTATTTCTGTTATGAGCTCTGTGTCTTTACTGTGTGTTTATAGGAACTGAGGTAAACACCACAGTCATTGGTGAAGATGACCCCATTGATGAAGTTCAGGGGTTTCTTTTTGGAAAGTTAAGGTATGTTAACTCCTGTTGGCAGAGCCTGCTTGCACCCCTGGTGTCTTTCTCATTACTATCTGAGTTGTGCCTCTGCTCACACTTTATATGTGTAGTCTACAGCGGAGAGAGCCCGCTTCATCTGCGGTAAAGTTGGTCATTTCTAGTTATTCCCAGCGCCTTGTTCTTGGATGCCATTGTAGTTACCTGCCTATGGCGTCTCCTCTGTTCCTCTCAGTTGATGACATAAAGGTACATATCATTGCTTTGACTGAGTAACAGCGTAGATCAAACTGCTTTTTGTTGACAGAGTTGGTGGTAGTGTTTATTTTTGAATTAGAGTGATCAGAGTTATTTTCTAATGCTAAGCAAAACCTGAAGAGAAAAAAAAAAAAAAAAAAAAAAAAAAGAGCAACAACCTAATAGGACTTTAAAAACACATAGCAGAAATACGTTCTGTCAGCCAACAGAAAATGTTTTTTTGTTGTTGGTATGTTTGAGGCAGGGTCTCACTTTGTAGCCCTAGTTGGTCTGGAATTCTCTATGTAGACCAGGCTACTCTCAGCCACACCTGCCTCTGCCTCCTGGGTGCAGATCAATGGCATGTGCAATCCTGCCTGAGAGAAGATGATTTTAATAGTGGAATTTGTTTAGTAATTTCTCAAACCATTTGGTGAAAATATTATAATTATAGCAGGAAGTTCTTCTTATCCGTGGTTATTTGTTAAATTTTTCAGAGCCTTGACTTCTGCTCTGTGTGGGAATTTCAGAACATCTGTGGTGTGCTGCCTCTTTTAAAAAACTAAAGATAACAAATAATAACATATGCTAGGCTCGTTGGGCGTTGGGCGAGTGGAACAGTCTGACCAGGTTTCCAGTCGAGGCACGAGGCTTCGTTTCCAGTTGCTGTGTTGGGTTGACCCATTACTTCCACATTCTTGTTTACAGTCACAGGACTGTGGCTGTAGTCAGGACCCACCTATTTGATGAGGATTTCCAGAGTCTTCGATATTCTTTTAGACTTTTTGGTTACATTGATCTGTTTTGTGTTTGTGTATGTGTGTGTAGTTGGGACACTGTGTGGAATGCGTATGGAGCTCGTTCTCTGACTCACCTTCTGAGTCCTGGGCTCAGCTTCTCAGGCTTGATGGCAAACCGTTACTGGCCCTGCCAGCTCACTGGCCCCTTTTTGCAGTTTTTTGGGTGTTGCTGTGGTTTTATGTATTTATAGCACAAAAATGTCATGTCGAATATACAGTGATAACTTATTGCCAGAGGACCATTGCTGTGCCTTAACAGCTTTTGCCCGTATTAAATAAATTTTCTTAGGTTGGGGAGGGGACAATCATGAAGATAGATCCAGAGTCCTTTGCTTTGTGTACTCTGAGAGAAAACAGTGAGAATAACCGATTCTGTTTCTGTCAGAGAACTGTACCCCACCTTGGAAGGACAACTGAAAGAATTCCGGAAGCATCTTGTGGAGAGCACCAATGAGATGGCGCCCTTGAAAGTCTGGCAGCTGCAAGGTGAGGGGGACTCTGGGCTCACTGACATCAGGGTGCTTCTCCAGCATGCACCGAGCCCTGCTTCTGATCCCCAGCACCCACATTAACCAGGGTCTGTACTGTACCTGGAACCCAGTGCTGACATCTGAGGCAGGATCATTGCCCTGGGTTCCAGGACAACTTGTGCTACAGAAGGAAACCTGGTCTTGGTGGAGGCGGTGGGATTGCACAGTTTGAATGAAATTTATAAGATTCTGAGAGTACTACAGATGGTGATTTTTTAAAAAATATATACATGCACACACGCATATACATACCCACGCGCCCACACACACACATACATACACACATATACATGTATGTCTAGACACCATTTTAAAATTAGAGCATTCCCTATGTTGTTTTGAATTGCTTTGGAGTCTGTTGTCCTGTTTCAACATTCATTTCTGATTCTGTTAATTTTGGTTATCTCGTTCTTTGGGTTAATTGGGCCAAGGGTCTGTCAGTCTTGTTTAACTTCTCAAAGAATCAGCTCTTATAAAGATTCAGTGGCTTTTTTTTTTTCCTCCTGCTTTTTAAAATTCTGGTCTGAATTTTAGTATTTCTTGCCATCTGCTGGTCTTGGGTTTGTTTTGTTCTTCCTGATTTTTAATGTAAGTACTTTGAGTTATAAATTAGATTGGTTTTAGTGTGCTCCAGAGATTATTGTTGCGCTTTATTTTCATTTTTATTTAGTTTCAGGAATTTCTTGACTTCTTCAACATTCAATAATGAGTTTCTTAATCTCCACGAGTTTGTGTACTTTCTAGAGATTTGTTTGCTGTTGATTTAAGTTTTATTACATTGTGGTCAGATATGATACGTGGTGATGTTGTTTCTGTTTTTCTGAATACTAAGCTTTGTTTTGTGCTCTAGTTTTCAGATGCTCCCATGGGCTGCAGAGGTGTAACGTGTGTTCTCTGGTGTGCATTGTGGGTGCTTTCCATTAGATGCATGACACATTTAATTCTCATGCTTTCTCTGCTGAGCTTTTTCTATTGATAGGAGGCAGTGTGATATTAAAATTGTTATTGGATTCATGTTTATTTTTGTCTTTAATTTGGTGAGTAAGCTTTTTATGAAATAGGGTGTACCAGAATTAAGTGTATATATGCTTAGTTATGATATCTTCTTGGTTAATTGTTCCCTTGAATAGGATGGAATATCCTTCTTTATGTCTTTTGGTTAACTTTGGTTTGAAATCTATTTAATTTGGAGTTATTTTAGTTGTAGCTTGGAGTCTGTTTAGTTTGAAGTCTGCGGTAGCAACGCCTGCTTGCTCTTTGTTCTTTGGCCCACTTGCTTGCAGTGGTTTTCCTGTCCTGTCTGTCTGAGGTGGTTTCCTGTCTTTAAGGCTGAGATGAGTCCCTTGTCCACAGCATCAATGTGGATGTTTGTTTCCTAATCCATTCAGCCAGCATGTGTTTTTTGATTGGGGAGTTGAAGCCATTATTAGTATTTAAAGTTATTATTGAAAGGTGTGTGATGATGACATATTAGTATTTAGAGTTATCATTGAAAGGTGTGTGATGATGACATATTAGTATTTAAAGTTATTATTGAAAGGTGTATGATGTTATCTTTTCCCCTAATGTTTATGTTTTCTCAGTTGTTCTTTTTGTCTCATTGATTAGGGCATCGTTTCTTTTCTTTCTTCAGGCTCCTAGGAGTCATTATCCCTCCCTTCAGTCTGGTACTGTCTTTAGGGGTTTGCTTTGTAAACAGGAATTCTTCTAGGCTTTTCATGTCACAGGAAGTTTTTCTTTCTCTTTCATCGATGGCAGATACTTTTGCTGGACATGGTAGTCTAACTTGGCATCTGTGGCCTCTAGAACTTAGTGTGCGTTGCTTAGGATCTTCTGGCTTAGAGTTTCTGCTGAGAAATCAGCTGTCATTCTGATGGGTTTCCCTTTATATTTGACTTGCATGTTTTTCTCTTGTAGCTTTCAGTACTCTTGGTCCCGTATGCTCAGGGCTTTAACTAGGCTGTGCCATGGAGTGTGTGCTCTGGTCTTGTCTTCATGGTGCTGTGTGTATTTCTTACTTCTGTGTCTATCCCTTCCATTAGTTTGGGGAAGTATTCGTCTATGATCTTGTTGAAGATCTGGTTCATGCCATTGATCTGGGATTCTTCTCCATCATCTCTACCTGTAATTTGGAGATTTGAGGACCACAGGTTTTAAAGACGTGGCTAAGGGAAGAAAGGAAATCCTCTGTAAAATCCTAAGTGTCAGTTTTTAATTTTAGGCTTGTGCTTTTTTTTTTTTAATAGTGCTGCCATGTCTGGCAGTGGTAGTGGTGGCGCATTCCTTTAATCCCAGCACTTGGGAGGCAGAGGCAAGGCAGGCGGATCTCTGTGAGTTCGAGGCCAGCCTGCTCTACAAAGCTATACAGAGAAACCTTGTCTCAAAAAATCAAAAACAAAAAATAAAACAGGGAAAACAAAACAAACAAAAATGGTGCTGACAGTCGATCTAGGACCTCACATATTGGACATGCGCCATTGAGCTACAACCATGGTCCTACATGCATTTTACAATTTACTTATTATCATTGTGTGCATGTAGGCTGGTGGGCCCACAGTGGTCAGGGGACAACTTTGTGACAGAGCTTAGTTTCTCCACCTTTATTTGGGTTCCAAGAAATTGAGTTGAATTTTAATCAGGACAGCATTGTAGACAGCAAGCACCTTTACTCACTGAGCCGTCTAGCTGGTCTCCTGTATGCATTTCTGCACATTTCTTAAACTGTGTTATCTATAGACTATATGGGTACTTTTCTGTTCTAAAGAATGTTCCAAACTATTCTCAAGACATTTTCCCAAGATAATTTGCTAAATATCTTAATCCTGTATTTTATGATATATTGTAAATCTAAGAGACACCAGGATTTGTGCTCAGGTTTGCTTCTACTAAATGTGTTAGCATGTGCCCTAGGATTTTATGCATGTAGATGATGACTAACTTAGTAAACACTCCAGGGGTCCATGAGGTGGTTGCATTCTAGGGCGTTCTTCACTGTCTGGGAATTGCGGGTAGTACTGGAGTTTTGGTCTACTGTCATTACTTTAGATTCCTGTGTTCTATTATGACTCTTGGCCTTGTTGCAGATCTCAGTTTCCAGACTGCCGCCCGCATCCTGGCTGCTCCTGTGGAGTTAGCTTTGGTGGTGATGAAGGATATTAGTCAGAATTTTCCTACCAAAGCCAGGTAACATCTACTAAGGTTTTGGTACATTTTTCTTCTAACATTATTTCCAGTGACTTTCATGTTTACCTAGAACATGATGTAACTAAAATGTAAAAATGCTTTGAAATGAAACTTATTTGTAACTACTGTTGTGACTGGTATCCTCTTTCTAAGATGATAGACCATTGATCTATGGTTGGGAAGAGAGAGAGAGAGAGAGGGAGGGAGGGAGGGAGGGAGGGAGGGAGAGAGAGAGAGGGAGGGAGGGAGGGAGGGAGGGAGAGAGAGAGAAAGAGAGAGAGAGAGACAGAGAGAGAGAGACAGAGAGAGAAAGACAGAGAGACAGACAGAGAGCTGGATGTTGTTGGCACTGCCCCACTTATGCTGGATCAGCTAATCCAGGGTCTGGCCTAGACTGCCAGTTTTGAGTTCTGATGAGAAGGGCTTTGCCTAGGGCTCCGGGGTAGTCCTTGCCTGACGTGTGTAAGGCCCCAGATTTAATCCTCAGTCCTGCCACACAAAAGAGGGAGGGGGGGATGCGGACCATGAGGTTCCTGATGTAGAAACTGAGGCTCAGAGGGACTGACCCTTCATAGTAACAATATTCTTAATTTTCTGACATAGCTGCCTTTTCTGTAATATTACTATCCTATGAATGCAAGGCAAAATTATTTAGAAGTCACATTCTTCGAAACTTAACAAATGTCATTGTTAATCTTTATCTCAAATTGCTAAAAGTACTACTAGTGGGCTTAGTTCTGGGCTGAGGGTTTTATAAGCAAGTTTCTTTTTCACTGTGTAGTATGCCCATGTAAGATTTCTTAATCCATCATGCTTCTGGAAGATACACATGCAGGGCTCAACCTTCACCAGAAGGATTTAATAGGACCAGCAGTCTGCTTTAGTGGGTTTAATGCTATTTATCTGTCACAGTCACAGTCAATGTCAGTGTCACATAAGGAGTAGCCACGCAGTCAGGAGAGACCCTGGAAGCAACTGGACTTGCTGTCACATATTGTCACTACACAGCTTTCCTTTGTCGTTCTGTCTTACAGAAATGGAAATTTGTGCATCTGTGAAATACAGTTGTCAGTTGTAGAACTGTGACGTTTACTCAGTTCTTACCTTTGTAGTTTATTGAACCACGTGCTTGATGTTTAAGAACAGGGAAATTGAAAGCCTTTATATGGGATGCTAAGCCAAGCACTGATCATGTTTTTTGTTTCTTAGAGCAATAACCAAAACAGCTGTGAGCTCACAACTTAGAACAGAAGTGGAAGAGAACCAGAAGGTAACTGGTAGAAAACGTTCTGTCCTGTGTTGTATCTTTAAAACAATGAAGAAACTCGAATTAAAGTAGTGGCATTTAGCAGTATTGCTTTTAGTAATACTTAGAGTAATTATTATATAGCAAATGTGTTAGGTGTGCACGCGCGCCTGTGTGTTGTTAAGGAGAGCGGTCTCTGACGGGGTGACTGATGGTGGGGTCAACAGGGAGTCTGGACCTCTGCGTTTTTAAGTAGATTTCCTCAAACCTTTTCCGTCCCTGCCTTGGATGCACTCCTCAGGCTCTGTTATTGTCATCAGCCCTCGTGCGGCTTCTAGAGATTGCCAAGACACTCACTCCTCATTCTCACCCCTTGTGTTCCACGGTCCCTTGGCCTTTTTCTGTCTGTGCTCTTTGCTATGAGGGCTCATCTCAGAAAAGGCCTGTCTCCTTACAGGCCTCTCACTAGAGTTGTGGCGGGTACGGGGAGCCCTTGTGTTCCATTAACCTTTTAAAATCTTTCTTTTGGTGTTTGAGATAGGGGTTCGCTGTGTAGACCTTGCTGTCCTGGAACTCATTGTGTAGGCCAGGCTGGCTTAGAGATTCACCTCCCTCTGCCTTCTAAGTGCTGGGGTCACGCATGTGCCACTGCACCCGTTTTTACCGCCGGATCTCATCATGGGTAGGATATTACTTACTTAAATAGACTTGAGAAAGAAACCAAGTATTTCACATGAATTTATGGAATTAACCCACTGAGCCATCTCTTAAACCTTCTACTATTTTCTTTTTGATAAGTGACTCTTAGCACTTGGCATCCTTGCATGCCCAACATTATAGAAATAGTTGTGTCATCACCAACATGAAGGCAGGGGGAAGGGAAGCAAGGTGGAGGCCCAGTAAAGCAGCTTCTTCATTCACGGTAGTGGGCTATCAGAAGGGTCCATGAAGAGTGTAGAAGGGAGTCTTAAGCTGCCCCCAGAGTGTCAACATTTGTGTGGCTACTGAAGCCCAGGGACAAGCAGCTTTGCTAAATGCTCTGTGTGTGTTTCAGTATTTCAAGGGAACCATAGGATTGCAGCCTGGAGATTCAGCTCTCTTCATCAATGGGCTTCATATTGATCTAGACACCCAGGATATATTCAGGTATGGCTAATAGTCTCTTTTTAAGCCCCTCCCCCCGTAAGGTTTTATAACTGATGGCATGTTCAGTTCTTATTTCTCCCTACCAGATACCATTGTCTGTGTGCATGTGTTATATGTTGTGAATTGAGTCTAGGGCCTCATATGCTAGGCAAGTACTCTACTCTGGCATAATCTCTAACCCTTAACTAGACACCTTGGTTTTTCCCGTAGTCTGTTTGATACATTGAGGAATGAAGCCCGGGTGATGGAGGGTCTGCACAGACTAGGAATAGAAGGCCTTTCTCTACATAATATCTTGAAGCTCAACATCCAGCCTTCTGAGACTGACTATGCAGTAGACATCAGGAGTCCTGCTATTTCAGTGAGTATTCATTTGGAGTGATCCTGAGACCTCTGGTCAGGCACCTTAACACTTCCTAATTTGTGTTTAACAGAAGATTTACAAGTCCTTATGTGAGATTGTGTTTTTATAATAAGGTGATCTCTCTGTCTGTCTGTCTGTGATTAAAGGCATGCACCACCATGCTGGACATAGGACAGGTTTTCACATGCTCTAAGAAGTTGTTTTCTGACCATTGTGAGTAAGAAGCATTCTTTCCGGGGCTGGAGAGATGGCTCACCAGTTAAGAACATTCACTGCTCAGGCACAGGGCCCCAAGTTCAGTTCCCAACACCCACACCTGGGGATTTACAGTCACCTGGAACTCCAGCTCTAGGGAGATCTGATATCTCTAGTCTGTCCTTATGTGCACATACCACACACAAATCAAATGACTAAAAAATAATAAAAATGTTTAAAAAGCATTCTGTCAATTTTGTTGTATTCATAGGATTTGGATGAATCCTGGGAAAGAGGATTTGTGTTTTCCCAGTTGTGTCTAGATTTTCTGTGTCTGTGACAGCGTGCATAATTCAGACTTCTTATTAGAACATATATTTGCAATTAATTAGAAGCCTTATTTACAGGGACATTGCTGTTAGCTGTGTGGTTTCTGTGTCTCTGTCATCTGTAAAAAGAATGTAGGGAATGGTAGGGGGTTATCTTCCCCCCCCCCTTGGTTCTGTCCTGCATTTATTTTAGAGGCATGTTAGTGAAAGAGAGGTAACTGACTGTGAATCAGGCATGTGTATCCTGCAGCCTATCAGCCACTAATGCAGCCCAGTGTATTTATAGATATTAGAGCATGGACCTGCTGTGTGTAGATTCTCTTCACTTACATTCTCACTCGGTGATGTATAACCACTGCATGTTTTGATGCATAGTTTAGTTTCTGACAAAATGGTTTTGCGTATAAAGAATAAAGAAAATAACATAATGAAAGAGATTGATAATCATGTGGCTTACCACCATTCTTTTTAAATAATCAATTGTGTGGTAATTGCTTCAGTTGAAGCGCTTTTGTGTTCCTTCCTAGTTACCCTTTTCCTCCCTGCCGACAGTCCATCCTGAGGTTGGTGTGCATTCCTCTGTCTCTGATTTTACACCTTAATTTCCTTAATTTTAAAGGGTTTCAGTATTTTCACGGTCTGTTGGTGTTTTGTATCTATTTCCTTTTCATTCCATAACCCAGTTTTATTTTTATGACTACCTTTTAGGCCACCATTCTCCACATTCTTTTTAGAGATGACAAGGGCCCAGTGTACCCAAATAGCAAATAATAATTAAAGTCCTTTTAAATCATGTAGTTAAGAACATCTTAATAGTGGTTTTAATATTTATACTGTTGGGAATGGTGGCACATACCTTTAATCCCAGTACTCAGCAGGGGCAGGAGAATCTCTGTGAGTTTGAGGCTAGCCTGGTCTACATATTGAGTTCCGGGACAGCCAGGGCTACATAGTGAGACACTGTCTCAAAAAAACCCAAACATACAAAAAACAAAACAAACACAAAAACAAAAAACCCCCAAATAGACAAAGAATTCACATTGTTAGAACATCTCTTTTTAATAACCAGTTTGTAAGACTTTTAGCGAGGGTGGAGTAGCTCATCAGAGTTGGAGTACTTGGTGGTGTGGAAGGTCCTCAGCCTTATTAGGTCCATTAGAAGGAGACTTCCAGTCCCAGACACCAACATTCAGCATTGTGTGAGAGTTCCTGTTGCTTTTGTTTACATTTTACTTACTTATTTATTTTTCTTTAAAGAACAGCATTTGTACTTTTAAAGCTGAAAATGTAAGATATAATGAAGGTGTCTTGGCTAGGGTTTCTATTGCTGTAATGAAATGACATGACCAAAAAAGTTGGAGAGGACAGGGCGTATTTGGCTTATATTTCCACATCAGTGTTTGTTATGGAAGGAAATCAGGGCAGGACTCAGAGAGGTCGGGAACCTGGAGGCAGGAGCTGATGCAGAGGCCGTGGAGGGGAGCTGCTTTCTGGCTGGCTCTCCATGCCTTGCTCAGCCTGCTTGCTTGTAGAACCCAGGACCACCAGCCCATGGATGGCCCCACCCACAGTGGCTCCTCCCCTACGAATCACTAATTAAGAAATGTCTTTCAGCTGGATCTATGTATCTTACAGAGACATTTCCTCAGTTGAGGTTCCTTCTCAGATAACTAGCTTGCGTCAAGTTGACATAAGACTAGCCAGCACAGAAGGTATATAGTAGATGTTTTATCACCAGCAGCTTGCTTCCTGGGGCGGCTAACATGAGCAGTTGCTTGTGTACCCTTTCTCTACTCTCACAAGATGGAGTGTATTCCCTGCTCCTTGTGCAAACAACAGGTGTTTACTGCGCATGTGCTGTTCTGCCGTCCTACTACTGCTACTGTTGCGGACACTGCCATAGTGGGTCTCTGCCCTTTCCTCCCACGCACATGCGGCCTGCATCTGTATCTGTCTCTTCTCTGTCTCTTTAAGTGAGTGCTGCAGACGCCGCCTGGCCCGAGGGGTCCTGTGCGATCTCGGTACTGACTGACCGTTAATTGTTTCCAGTTCAACGAATGTGAAGTTTTCTTGCGGATTTGTTTACATTTTACAGATTGTGATTGGAGTTGTGTTTACTGACGGTCCCTATGTCGTTTTTGTTTTATTATTTTTGTTTTGTTCTGGTTTTTTTTTTTTGGAGACAGGGTTTATTTGTATAACAGCTCTAGCTGTACTGGAACTTGCCTTGTAGACCAGGCTGTCTTTGAACTCACAGATGTCTCCTGAGAGCTGGGATTAAAGGTGTGTGTCACCACACCTAGCTTAGCTTCATTATTCTTATTCTTGTCTCATTTACTGTGGGTTGCTTGAGCTTTTTTTTTTTTTTTAATATTTGTTGCTACTAGTCTTCAGTTGGTTGTGTTGATTACAACACATATAGCTATGTTGTAGTTATTAATTTGTCTATTTAATCTTTGTATGTTTGGGAATTGTCTTATCTCTTATACCTGTGTATTTGTTGGAGGCAATGTCTTGTATAGCCCAGGCTGGTGCTAAATTCTACGTGGCCATTGGCAATTTAATACCTGCTACTCCTGTCTCTACCTCCTAAGGGCTGGGATTACAGGCATGTGCTACTGTGCCCATGTACTCTGTGATTTTTGAAGTCTCAGTAATTATCTCTTTTTTCCATCAGTGACTAATGTGCACGTACCATGTTGTGTTTTCTGTTTTATTCAAGTGGGTCAACAACCTAGAGGTTGACAGCCGATACAATTCATGGCCTTCTAGTCTACAAGAGTTGCTTCGACCCACCTTTCCTGGCGTTATACGGCAAATCAGGAAAAACTTGCATAACATGGTGAGTGGAACTCCTTACCGCCTGCCTCCCTGCAACTGTCTCTCTTTTCCATCATATGTGGAATGTTCAGCTTTTTCTTTATATATGCACAATGTTCAAAGGGAAAGGGCTTTGGAATATGTTTATACTACAGCAGTGTGACAACCTGTGTTGCTGTGTGACCCATGTGCCTCATCCATAATGGAAGGTTTACACTGGGTGACTTTACAGATTTGTTTTAAGACTTTATTTTCCTAGAGCAATTTTAGGTTTATAGAAATGCTGTATGAGTTTTAAGAGTGTTCTTTTTTTTCTTTTGTAACTCAGAAGATATATGTTCGCTGCTTTTTGTCATGTCATGTGTGCATGTGTTAATAGTCTTTTTATTCCAAGTTACAACTTAGGCATTGGATCAATAAACTCTTTTGATCTTACTACGTAAAAGAAGGGAAGTCACCATACAGGAAAAAAACTAGTGTGTTACTTGACGTTGTATGTGAGAAATGAAGGCATCGATATTTGATTCAGTGGAAGTAGTTGTAATTCTCAGTGAGTTCTCAAGGCTGTGAGGTATTTTGGTCCTGATGTGAGTGTTGTTGGTGTGATGTCCCCTTACCCTACCCCCCCCCCCCCCCCCCCGCCCCAACTTGCTCTTTCTTGTGAGCCATTGAGTCCTAGTTTGCTTTCTATTGCTGTGGTAGACTCCATGGACAAAAGCAGCTGTGAAGGAAAGAGTTAATTTCCTCATGTGGCTTATAGTTGGCCATGAGTGGAACTCAAGGCAGGGGCTGAAGCAGAGACAGCGGAGGTTGCTTCTCACTGCCTTGCTCTCATTGGCATGCTCAGCCTGCTTTCTTATACAACCCAAGACCACCTGCCCAGGGGTGGCCCCACCCACACTGGGCGGGGCCCTTCCACATCAGTCATAAATCAAAAAAAAAAAAAAAAAAAAAAAAAAAAATGCCCCCATAGATTTGCCTGCAAGCCACTCTGATGGAGGCATTATTTCAATCGAGGATCCCTCTTCCCAGATTACTTAAGCTTATGACAAGTTGACAAAACAGTAACCAACACAATTGGCCTGTCATCACCTTGACACATAAACACATCACTATTAAACTATAAACTTTTCTTTCTTGTCTGTTCTCAAGATGTTATGTTAATGCTAATATCATCATATAAAATATACCACAATATTTAATATACCGTATTTTAAAAATGCAAACACTTTAAAGTTCAAGTTCTCTTTAAAATATTCCAACATATCTTTAAACGTCCAAAGTCTCCCCAACAGTAAGCTCCTGTCACAGTCGCATCAATGCAAACCCAAGTTCAGCAGTGGCATCTGGGCTACCCATGGTCCTCTGGGCTCCGAGGGCGGGGCAGCCGCTCTTGCTCAGCTATGCATCTGTAGCACAAGCACCTTGTTTAGTGGCGGTCCTCACTGTCCTTAAATCCAATGCGCCTGTGCTGTGCCTTCTCCCATGGCCTGACCTGGGCTCTCTTCAGGGACTCTGACCTTGGCCCATGGTGACAAGCCTCACCTTCTCTCTCTGGCCTCCTTGAATACTACCTTCTCTGTGCTGGCCCGAGAAACATTTCCAAGCTCCTGTAATGGCTCATTTAAGTCTGAGCACTAATGACTTTTCCAGCCCAAAGTTCCAGACACTTCCACCATCTTCCCCAAAAGAACACGATCAGGTTTGTCGCAGCAGTAGCCCGATTTCTGTCCTGTTTGCTCTCTGTTACTTTAATGGAAACTATTACATCCATCATGAGAAGGGAGTCAGCGCAGGAACCTGCAGACAGAAACTCAAGTGAAGGCTCTGAAGGAGTTGCTTCCTGGCTTGCTCCCCATGGCTGGCTCAGTCTGCTTTGTTTCATAGCCCAACACCACTTGCCCGGCCGCGGCGGCACCACCCACATCGTTCTGGGCCCCCCTAAATCAGTAGTTAATTAGGAAAGTGCACCCGAGGCTTGCCCACAGACCACCTGGAGGCTTTTCCGCAGCTGGGCTCCTTCTTACTTAGAGAGGCATGAGTGAATGGGCGTTTTATTGGAGCACGAACAACTTTCCAGTGGCCACCTATTTACAAAACGGCCTCTCATCCCTGACAGCCACTAACTGATTCTAACCCAGGACGAGACAGGGCCTCCCAAGTGCTAATATCTTAATCCCTCAAATTTAGTAATCACTTAACCTCTTAACTTTTCATTTCCCCCCTCACCCCCCGTCCCTCATCTCCCTGCTTTAGAGACCGGGGCAGAAGTTTCTTAGCAGATCTACCCTGCCATTTCTGTATCTCTTCCCTCTTCACTGGTGCTGAAGAGAGACGGGAGCCAGGCTTGCTTTGAGAGCTGCATGGGATTTCATGTATTTAATTCTCCGCCTGTGCATGTGTGTAGGCCCTCACGTGCCAACCTTCAGGAGTTGCTTCTCTCCTTCTGCTTCATTGCCCAAGAGATTGAATGTGTTTGCAAAATTGGCAACGCATGACCCACTAAGCCGAGGTTCTCAACCTTCCTAACGCTTCGGCCTTTTAACACAGTTCTTCATGCTGGGGTGACCCCCAACCAAAAATTTTTTCATTGCTTTCTCATAAACTGAAATTTTACTACTGTTAGGAATCACAATGACAATATCTGTTTTCTGATGGTCTTAGGACACTCCTGTGAAGGGATTGTTTGACCCCCCCCTTCCAAGGGGGCACTACCCAAGGTTGAGAACCGGCACACTAAGCCATCTTGCCAATCCTGTATTTTCTTCAGTTCATACTACCCTTTTCTTTACCCTTCTCTTTCTTATCCTGTGAGTGAATTTTAACTTTTTGTTTTCTAAAGAGTTGTAGATAATTTTCATGCACCTCAGGCTAGTCTTTAAACTCAGTATACAGTTGAGGGTGGCTTTGAATTTGAGACCCTCTCCCTCCGTCTTCCGTGTGCTAGGATTGCAGGTATGCATCACCATGCCTGGTTTTATGTAGCGCTGGACTTGCTCTTGCATGCTTGGTGAACACTCTACCAGGTGATTAACAGCCCCGGTCCTGAGTAACTTCATTGTGTAGAGAATGTGTCTACAAGCTGGTTTGCAGGTACTACGGACTCCATTTATCACTGTTGCTATGATTTAAAAGTTGAGTTCAAATTTGGTAATCCAGGGAGCCTTAGAAACAAATGTAACGAAAAAGGCAGGCTCTGTTTTCCAAGGTGGGGGAACTGATAGAACTGAAGTTTATTTGGGATGGCATCAGCAGTCTGGAACACCAGTGGGATGTCAGCAGTGAAATCCATGAAAATGTCCCATTTCTTCCCACCACCACGGTTTTTGAAGCTGAGGGTTGGAAAGATTGGCCTCATGTATGACATCTTGTGTCATTTCTCAGCCCAGAAGTGCTTGAATACCATTTCATGGGTTCTTTTTCTTTCCTCTGACAGGTTTTTATTGTTGATCCTGTACATGAGACCACAGCTGAGTTGATTAGCATAGCTGAGATGTTCCTCAGCAATCACATACCATTAAGGTAACACTGGGGTCATTTAGCTGAGGTTGGGTTTGCTATTTGGATTGCATGTCTGGTTTCATTGAATTGTAGTATAATTAATAGTGAGATTTACTAATGGTGGTTTTCTGCTTGGTAAGATGCCTGTGTCTTTTGGGACGAAGAATTTAGTTCTCAACACATACAAGCTCACCACCATTGAATTATTAACAACTCTCTGTGTGAAAATAGTTTGTGGTCTTCACTTGCTTCCTACAGGAAGGGAGTTTTCTTGGATGCATGTCCATATAGGAAAGCCCGTTTCTGATTTCAGCAGAGAGCTTTGCTAGCGCCTTTGCTTGGCTTTCAAGGACTAAAACGCTTTAGAATGTTAAGTAGCCTTCTGTAGATGTAGACAGATGCCCCCACCAATGTCAGTCATGTTGCCAGCTGGACACCAGATTTACCCTGTTCTTTTCATAGAATATGTGTATATGTGTGTGTGTTTATGCACATACATGCATATATACATAGATATTGTTATATGCATTTGTACATATTTATATATGTATATAACATATTTATGTTAAGATATTTTCCCTTACAGTCTGTAATAATTTTGGTAATTTTACATATTGATAAAATCTGTGTTACTTTTGTTTTATTCAAGACAGGGTCTCACTGTGTAGCTCTGACTCCTGGAACTCACTCTATAGATCAGACTGGTGTGGAACTTACAGCGATCCACCTGCCTCTGCCTCTCAAGTGCTGGGTCTAAAGACGTGTGTGTCTATGTCTGCAAAATTTGAGTTCTTAAAAATGTAGAAGCTAAAGGACAAAAGACTTCCTAGTAAAGAAACATTGCAATGTGCTCACTGCCCAGCACTGAGCTGTACTAGGCTTTTATGAGTGGTACCTGCCCTGTTTGCCTTCTCAGAACAAAGCTTTTGCATACCTTGCCGCTCTTTAAGAGTGTGTTGGATCATGTGCTTTAGGAAACAGCTCTGTGGGGGAGGACCTGGGTTTCCTGGGGCTTTGAAGCAATAGAGGACTATGAGGACTGGAAAAGCAGAGCTTGTCGAGTGCAATGAAATTTCTTCATTTAAATCTGAATACCACCTGGAAAATGGAGAAATAATTGATAGAGATTCTGGTGGTGTAATTAGGTGTCAACTTGCTTACATAAGGATGTTTAGGCCACTTTTTCTAATTACATGGTTTAGGTCATGAGTAAAATTTAAAAAAAAAAATAAGGAGTTAACTTGAAAACAAATCTTGCTGTCTGCACATGCACGAATGAATCACTAGATAATTGATACTTTTTTGGGGGTGGGGAGGGGATAGAATCTCATTATGTAGACTAGGCTGACATACATAGATGCTCCTGCCTCTGCCTTTCAAGTTCTGAGACTACAGGCATGTGCCACCACATCAGGACCACTTTTAACAGTTCTTATTTGATGAATAAGGTCATAGGTTTTCCAATTCCATACTTAATAATATGTCGTGCTCCTTTGCTCATCCATCACTCTCCTGTGTCCCTCTCTTCTGCTGCTGGCCCCTTTCTCCTGCTTCTGCTGGTGTTATTCTTGTGTATGTGTGTGTCCCCGAGTTACTTGTGGAAGAAAGGCTTTATTTCAGTTTTACATATAGTGCATCACCACCAGAAACTAAGGCAGGAACCCGTAGCAGAAACGAAAGCAGAGACCATGTAGGAATGCTTCTTGCCGGTGTGCTTCGTATGGCTTGCTCAACTGGCTTTTTTTTTTTTTTTTTTTTTTTTTTAATATCAGTTAGCCCACTTGCCTAGGGAGTTATCAACCACAGTGTAATGGACCCTCCCATATCAACCAGCAATCAAGAAGTCATACAATGTGACCACAGTCCAGGACACCCTGATCTACAAACTGAGTTCTAGGACAGCCAGAAATACACAGTGAGACCTGGTCTCAAAATCAACAACTAGGGCTCTCTCCCTCTTCCCTCCCTCTCTCCGTCTAATCCAGACTGGTCCAGAACTCCTGATTCACCTGCCTCAGCTTCCCATGGCATGTCTCCTAATTTCTTTTAATACCGAGTAACATTTCGTTATGTGATTATACTGTATTTTTTTACCCTTTCACCTTTGAAGGGCATTGCTTTAGTCTGCTTTTTGTTGGTGTGATAAACACTATTCCAGAAGCAACTTGGGCAGGAAAGGATTGATTTCCTCTTACAGGTAGCAGTCTATCATGAAAAGGGAGTCAGGGCAGGAACCCCAGGCAGGTACCTGGAGTCAGGGACTGCAGGAAAAGCCATGGAGGAATGCCGCTTACTGGCTTGCTCCTGGAGTCTTGCTCAGTTTACTTTCTTATGCAACCCAAGATGACTTACCTAGGGGATACTGCCTGTAGTGGGTTAGACCCCCCTCCATATCAATCATGAATCAAGGAAATGCCCCATGTAGACATGCTCAAGCATTATCTGACAGAGGTATTTCTCAACTCAAATTCCTTCCCAGGTATGTCCAGGTAGGTCTCTGTCAAGCTGATAACAACCTACCAACACAACTGACAGTGTCAACTTAACACACAGTTACAACACTATTAAGTTTTACAAGACTTCATGTTGATATTAATGTCACATTGTAACACACCGTCCAACCTTTAAAAGTCTTCACTTCTTCCAAAATTCCATTACTTAAAAGTTCAGTCTCAGGATCTAGAGAGATGTCTCAGCAGTTAAGACCATATACTGCTCTTCCAAAAGATCCAAGTTCCTATGGTACCATTCGTAACAGGGAGCTCATACCTACCTGTAACTCCAGAAAATGTAACACCTCTAGTCTTTTCAGGTACCTGTACTCTTGTTCACATACCCACCCACAGACACATACACACACATATTTAAAAGTAAATATTTAAAAAGATTCACTCACTTTTGAATATCCAGCACCTCTGAAAACATCCAAACTCTCAACTGTGAGCTTCTGTAAAATAGATAATAAGGTACATATTTCTTATTCCAGGAGGAAAGAACCAGATCAAAATAAAACCAAACCCAACAGTGTAAAGTGTAAGTAGCTCAGTGTCTGACATCCAGGACTCACGGTTTCTGAGGGCTTGGTTAGTCCCACCTCTCCAGGGACACCCTCCACCATACACAACTTGTCCTACAGACTCTGGTGAGCTTCACTTGACGCTTGCTGTCCTTGGTGGTCCTCCACAGATCTTTGAGCAGTTAACACTGAAGCTTATGAATCCCATGTACAGATGTTTATGTGGACAAAGTTCTGTTGGCAGGGTTGCTGGACCATTTCAATAGGTGTATAGCAGTAGGTCGCTGTTTAATTGATAACTCACTAATGGCATAGGATCTTAGTGTTTCATTTTGTGAATATCTGACCAAGAAATTTCATTTGTTTGTTTACATGGTCTTTTTGAGACAGGACCTTGCTGTGTAGCCCAGGCTGACCTGAAACTTGATTTGTAGCCTGGGTTATCCTCAGACACACTGTCCTTCTGCCTCAGCATTCTCAAGTGCTGGGATCATAAGTGTGTGCTACCTTGCCCAGCTTCTTAGTCTACAAATGTTTGTTTAACATCGAGTCTCAAGAGTCATGTTTATATTTCCATCAGTTCTTTTTCAGATGGGTGTTTTCAAGTTTTCTGCTAGGCTGTGGTTTCTCCTTTCCTTTCCTTGATACTTTCCCCCCTTTTTCTCAAAGCAGGTATTAGTTTGTTTGTTTTGTTTTGTGTGAGGGTTTGGTTTTTTAAAGAAAGGGTCTCACTATATAGCTCTGCTCTGTAGATCTGGCTGGCCTTGAACTCACTGAAATCCACTTGCCTCTGCCTCCCTAAGTGCTGGGATTAAAGGTGTGCATCACTATTGGAGGCTCACAAAACAGAAGTTTTAAACTTTAATGAAGTCTGCCTCGTTGATGTTTGATGTTTCCCTCAGTTATTTTCACTCCACTGACTGAACCTGGAGCTCACATATTGGCTAGGGTGCCCCCTGCCAAGATCCTGTTTCCACCTCCTCGCCCTGGGATACGGGCATGTGCCCAGTTTATTGTACGTGTTGTTAAAGATCTGAAGCCGGGTTCTCATGCTTGCATGACAAGCACGTTGCCCATCACGCCACCCCCTAGCTGGCTCCTACTTTTTGGATCTAACATGTCAGTAACTAAACCTGAGATCACCTATCAGGTTTTCCCCGGTGCTATTTTCTAGGGGTTTGGTTTTCCAGTTGTTTTTGTGAAGGGCAAATTCATAGCTACGTTCACGACTTAGCATGTGCGGCTGTGCAGTACCACTTGTTGACGTGGCTTTCTTTACTGCGTTACTCTCAGTCCAGGTGCCCAGCCTGCCCAGGGGAAGTCTTCATCCGGGTCTGTCTTTGTGGATGGAGGAAGCTGATTTTCAGTTTGCTTTCATTTATTGAAACTGTTTTGACTGTCCTGGAATTTGCTTTGTAGATCACACTACCACAGTAGCCTCAAACTCACAGAGATCCACCTGTTTCTGCCTCCTGAGTTCTGGGATTAGGCGTGCACTGCTTTCCTGACTTCCTTTTATATTGCTTTAGTTATATTTAATTTTCTCAACTCTGACTTCTGGGTTTTTAAAATTAATTTATGCATTCTTTATGTGTATGTGCCTGGTTGTCTGTATGTATAGCACGTTTGTGCAGTACCCACAAAGGCTAGAATTTTAATTCACGTGCTCTGAAACTGGAGTTAGAGGCCCTTGTGAGCCATCTGATTGTGGGTGCTGGGGACAGAACCCAGGGACTCTGCAGGAGCAGCCAGTGCTCTTAATAGTTGAGCTATTTCTCCAGTGCTCCAATTTAAAAGCAGAACAGAATTTCTCCTCATCATTGTAGCAATGCTTCTCATGTCAGTACAGAAGTCTATTCAAGCCTCTGAAACAGCTTCAACTGTGGAAAAGCCTGTTTTTAAACAGTGTGTGCGTGCATGCCTTGTTAGAGTGAGATGCAGACTGCTTTTCGGTTAGGATTGGGTGGGGAGGTGTGGAGGGGATGGCACGCACCCACCTCTAGCTGATTGACTTCTTTTAAGAGGCCTGTTTTCTTCTCTGCAGGATTGGTTTTGTCTTCGTGGTCAATGACTCGGAAGATGTTGATGGAATGCAAGATGCGGGAGTCGCCGTTCTGAGAGCGTATAATTATGTTGTCCAAGAAGTGGATGGCTATCACGCCTTCCAGACTCTCACACACGTATGTTTTTAACTTAGTCTAAAACGGTTTTAAAAAGTAAATTCTTACACAAGCTCTTATGTTTTATATTTCAGGGTTCCTTATACTTTATTAAGTCACTGGTATGAATGTAATAGATTGCTAAGTTTATTTTAATGTTTAGAATTTATTATGGGGGGGGTCCAGAGGATGACCTTCGTGGGTTCTTTCCTTCTGCCGTAGGATCTGGGGATCACGCTTGGATGTCAGGCAGGTTAATCCATAGTGCTGGCCATTAGATTCAGTTCTCTAAGAGTCAGACTAGTGTGTTAGAGCACTCTGTACTGTGATTATCTGAAAGCATCAGTTCATGCCTTTGGGCAACGTGATGTTCTCCACTTTTTTTAAAAGATCAGTCTGTTCCTTTTGAGACTGTCTGATGGTTTCTTCCCATCCTTTCTTTATCCTCGTCCCCCTTGTTTTTTCGGTTAAAGGCAAATTCATATAGCCAGGACTAGCCTTGAACACACTGTGTAGTTGAAGGTGACCTTGAGTTCCTGATTTTCCTGCCTTTACCTCCCCAATGCTGGGGTGTTAGAGGTGCAGCACCACCCTGGTTGTTCCCCCCCCCCCCCCCCCCCCCCCCCCCCCGAGATAAGGACTTTCTGTATAGCCCAGGCTAGCCTAAAACTCTGGCTCTGCTTCCCTCAGCTTCCCAGGGGCTTGCTGTCTCAGGCATGTCCCACCACACCTGGCTGCTGACACTTCTTAAAGCATTTTGCCCCTTGTATTTGGGTTATAATGTGTTTATGAACGGATGGGATCATTTCAAGAGAAGCATGGGCACCTCTGAAATCAAGGCTAGCCTGATCTACATAGCAAGTTCCCAGCTAGCCAGGCCTTCTTGCTGATGCTCTGTCCTTAAAAAAGAAAGAAAGGCAAATCTTCATTCCTTAGTCAGAAGTGTCTTACGAGGAATGTTGAAATGATAGTGTTGCTAAGAACTTCCAGTTTGCTTTTTTTAAAAAAAATTATTTTTCTAATGTGCTGAGTGATTTCATTCCATTTGAAATTTGGATTTAAAAGTGCTTGGTTACCTGTTTTTCTCCCTTTAGATCTATAACAAGGTAAGGACTGGAGGAAAGGTGAAAGTTGAACATGTGGTCAGCATCTTGGAGAAGAAGTACCCATACGTCGAAGTGAATAGCATTCTGGGGATTGATTCTGCTTATGATCAGAACCGGAAGGTAACACGTTTAGAGCTTACTTCTTTGGCGTTCTAACTTCACTGTCTTTGGGTTGGATGGTGTCTACAGTGGGGTGCTGTTAGAGTGCCTAGCAGTTAGCATTTCAGAATGTAGGCAGACCAGTCTTTGGTCCCCCTCCCCCCCCTTGGAGACAGGATCTTACTGTGTAGCCCTTGGCTGGCCTTGAACTCTTGGAGATCGCCTGTCTCTACACTATGAGTGCTGGGATTAAAGGCGTGTTGCCACCACGCCTGGCCTCACTTGTCATTCTTTGAAAAGTGATTCCATTTCAGAAAATAGTACCTTTTTTTTTTTTTTTTTTTTGCAAGTTAACTTTTAAATCAGGCACTAATTACTTTTTTGTAATAAAGTATGTTCTGGATGAAACCTATTGGAAGCATGGACCTGGGAGGTGATGTGTGGCACAATATATACAATTTGACTTTACGTCATTGTTCAGGCTCCAGACCTGTCTGCTTTAAGAAATATATTAACTGTCTGGGTGTGATGGTGCATACCTTTAATTAATCTCAGCACTCTGAAGGCAAAAGCAAATGGATGTCTGTAGATCCTGGTTGGTCTACAGGGCAAATTCCAGGATAGCCAGGGCTATACAGAGAATCCATGTCTCAAAGTAAAAAAAAAAAAAAAAAAAGTGTAAAAACCAGAGTCAGTGAGATTGCGTATTTGTGCAGATGCTTACTCTACAAGCCTAGTGAGCTGAGTTTGAGCCTCCAAGCTCATGTAAAGGTGAAAGAAAAGTTTAGCTTTTTGAGGAGTGACATAGGACGTACTTCGTGACCAGCTCTTACATATTTCCTTACCCACAACCAAAACAACGTTTATTCTTACATTTTGAGACTATTAGAAAATATTTGCTATACTTTGGCTTTTAAAAAGTGCTATAAAAGTTAATAGTTATAACTTAGTAAACAAGGTCTTGGGGTTTGAAGCAACTGTAAGAAAGCAAAAACCAGTTCCATTTTTGCGGCCCATCCTCGTGTGGAAAGATGTGGAAAGAATCCCTCTGCCTGACAATGGCTGTTGATTGCTAGAGTCAGGTTGGAGTGGGCCAGAAGCCATAGGAACAGGGAGCCAACAAATGTGTGCCTGCAGTTCTCGAAAGTGGCTTTGCTTTTCCAGTGAGCATCCTGGCTGGGAGCTGGACACTGAGCTCTTCAGGCCTCCTCCTCTGAAGAGAGCATGAGTAGCTGGAGCGGGGCTCTGTTGCTGCCTTGCAGCAGTTAGGACTGTGCAGCCCCTGAATGTCCAGATTGAGAGAAATGTCTGCTTCAGTGTGAGTGTGCAGATAAGGTGAAAGAAACAAAATAGGACCAATCAGGGAAGAGCTGTAAATCAAAGTTCACGGTCAGGCCCACACGCCTCTTGTCCCTGCAGAGGTAAAGAAACTGAAGAAGCACGTTTCTGTGTGCCCCCCCCTCCCCCGATTGCTGCAGTGGACTTTGCAGCTGCTTGCTGCTTCCCTGCTTTAGCTCAGCCCCCACTGTATGGTCAGCCGCTCTCTGGGGCTCTTTTGTCCTGTGGGCTTGAGCCTGCTGGCTGTCAGTAAGCCCTCTGCTGGGGTAGTGGACACTCTGCTCCCACCAAATGCAGAAAGTTTGGTTGTACAATGATGAGCATTGTATACATGATGCAGTTTTTTGTTTGTTTGTTTTTCGAGGCAGGGTTTCTCTGTATAACAGTTCTGACTGTCCTGGAACTCCCTCTGTAGACCAGGCAGGCTTTGAACCCACAGAGATCCTCCTGCCTCTGCCTCCCAAGTGCTGGGATTAAGGGAGTGTGCCACTACTGCCTGGCACATGATGCAGTTTTAGAAGCCTGGAGGCCTGTTCACACATGTAGACAAACATATACACATTTGCGCTATATTTGTGAATATACGTGCTCTGTTTGTGTGGCGGAGACTACCGAGGCTAATATATATATAGGGTGTCTGATTCGTAAGAACTGCAGGTACAGGAAATGAGCCGCCCTGTGGGTGCTGGGAACCGAACCCACCACAAGTGCTCTTAATGCCAGAGTCAGCTCCCCAGCCCTCCTCTTGTTCTTTTTTAAAAGAGCGTTTTATTTGTTGTTATTGTGTGCATGCATATGGAGATGAGATGATAACTTGTAGAGTCTGTTACATGGGTTTTGGAGATCAGATCAGGTTGCCGGGCTTACACTGCAAGTGTCTTTACCCATAAGCCATCTTGCTAGCTCTGTTAACTTTTTAAAAATTCAAACAGGCATGTAAGAAACTTTGTTTTGTTTTACATGTGTCATGAATGCAAACATGTGCTTTTTGTCCTTTGTTTTCTAGGACGCCAGAGGCTACTATGAGCAGACTGGTGTTGGTCCTCTGCCTGTTGTCTTGTTCAATGGCATGCCCTTTGAAAAGGAACAGTTAGATCCTGACGAGCTGGAAACCATTACAATGCACAAGATCTTGGAGACCACTACCTTCTTCCAAAGGGCCGTGTATTTGGTGGGTGGTATTTTCAGTCCAACTTTGAAAGCAAATGGTTTATATGTACTTGGTAGCTTCTGTAGTAGGCAGTACAGTTCTGTATTATGCTGGGCATGGTGACACATGGCAAGTGCATCTCGGTGAGTTTCAGGCCAGACAGGGTTACAAAGTGAGATCATGTTTCAAAAAAACAAATAAGCAACAACAAAAAATTTGTACTATATTCTATAGGCCACTAGTGGTTTGCAGATTCTCAGAAAGTCTATTCAAAGGAAAATAATTTTGAACACTGAAATAACAACTCCTGTTGGTTTTAGGGTTCAGTGTTTACTTGTAAAAGTTATAGGAATTTCTGAGAGACATGTTCATTAGGCATTCTGACTTTGGGAAGATGCTTTATTTCTATGTAAATACTACTTAATGGTTATGGTGTGGTAGTCATTCACATGGTATGAAACTCAGTTTTTTATTGGCTTTCATTTCATTCATTTATTTACTTGCTGTGCTAAGAATGGAACTCAGGACCTCATGTACACTAGCTTACTTAGTTAGACAGCGGTGAGCTACACCCACACTCTGAACTTACCTTCTTCCAATGTGTGTGTGAGATTCTGAGTGCGCACAGCTCCCACACTCTGAACTTACCTTCTTCCAATGTGTGTGTGTGATTCTGAGTGCACACAGCTCCCACACTCTGAACTTACCTTCTTCCAATGTGTGTGTGTGATTCTGAGTGCGCACAGCTCCCACACTCTGAACTTACCTTCTTCCAATGTGTGTGTGATTCTGAGTGTGCACAGCTCCCACACTCTGAACTTACCTTCTTCCAATGTGTGTGTGATTCTGAGTGCGCACAGCTCTTAACCACTAAGTGATCTCTCCAGCCCCTCAGATATATTTTTATGTTCTTTTCCACCAAAAAAACAAAACAACAACCACCACAACAACAAAAAATCAGAATTAGAACTAGAAAAACTATTAGCTTTATATACTCTTCCATAACTTATACCGATCACCTGCTGTGGTGGATTGAATTCTCAGTAAGTGTGTATATTCGAAAGCTTGGTGAAAGTACTGGGTAAGGACCAGGGTGTATGAAGGGGAGTGGGTTGAGATTGCAGAGGCCCACTCCATTTTCCCAGGTCCCTCTCTGCCGCCTACTTGTGGGTTAGGACTTAAGATCCCACCTACTGCTCCAGGGCTGGGCCTTGCCTGCTGCCCTGCTCCAGCCATGAGAATCTGGAACTGTCAGCCCTGAATTAAACATTTTCTGTTATAAATTGCCTTGGTCAAGGAAATAGAAAAGTAGCTACAGTAACCTGACTTGTAGTAAAAGATACAAAACATGAGCTCTTACCATGTTCAGTGTTCAGTGAACTGGCATTTTCAGTCACAATTTTATGCAACCCTTGCCGCTGTCCTGTAGAACTTTCCCACCCAGATAAATCTTTTATCTATTATTATCATTTTGTGTGTATGTGTGTGCGCGCGTGTGCGTATGTGTTTGTGTGCGTGTGTGTGTGTGTGTGTGTGTGTGTGTGTGTGTTCACTCTCATCCGCTCACCTCCAGGCTGTTTAGAGGGTTTCTGTCCCTTGGCTATCTTGAAGAATCCTGCAGTGAGTTCTGCAGTACTAGGTATTGAAGCCAGAGCTTTGTGCATGCCAGGCATGCCCTCTACCGTCGGACCCACGCCTCTGCCCTCTGCTCTCTTGATACTGTCCTGTGAGGCACAACATTCTCCACTCTGATGAGTTTGAGTTTAGTCTTTCCTTTTGTTTTTGTACTCTCGTTGATTTATCCAAGAAAGTAGTGCAAAATCATGGCTCAGCCATTATGAAGATTTTCTCTGGTGTTTTCTGGTAAGACCTTTATGATTGCAAATCTTTAGGGTAAATCTTTGACTTATTTTGAGTTAATTTTAATTATATTTTTTACATGTATTATATTGTTTAGGGGTTGTATATACCACCACATGTGTGGGAGTCAAAGGGCAGCGTGGAATCAGATCTTTCTACCTTTCCATGGGTTCTGAAATCAAATTCAGGCTGCTAGGTTGGCCCAGAAAGCTCCCGACCCACTGAGCCATCTCACCAGCCCTGGTAATTGTTTTCAAGACAAGGTCTCATTATGTAGCACTGGCTGGTCTAGAACTTGCAAGATAGACCAGGCTGGCCTTGAACTCACAGAGATCCGTGTGACCCTGAGTGTTAGGATTAATGATGTGGACCAATAAGTATAAGCAGTCTCTGAAGACTTGTATAACTACATTGACATTTAGAACAAATCTACTTATTTTAACATTTTATTTCTGGTTGGGCAGTGATGGCACATTCCTTTAATCCAAGCACCTGGGAAGCAGAGAGAGTAAGATCTCTGCATTTAAGGCCGGCCTGGTACATACAGCAAGTTCCAGAACAGCCAGGCCTGCTGTTCTGTTTTGAAACTGTTTTGCTCTGTTTTGAAAAGCCAAAGATAAATAAAAATTTATTTTTGACCTTTTTAACACCTGGTACTGGAAAAACTCTGTAACAGTTTAACTCTAGAGCAACATTTGGCCCTTACTTTATACCACAAATAAAAATTAATTCAAGGGCTGGCAGAATGGCTCAGTGGGTCAGGAGCTTGCTGGAGCAGTCTGGTAATCTGAGTTTGATTCCCCAGGACCCATGTGAAGGTGGAAAGAGAGAAGCATCACTACAGAGGTAGTGTGCCTCCCGGCATGGGACAGCTGACTTGGCTTTCTTGTTCCTGAGCCTCCTGTCCCCTGTGAATGCTACCACAGCATCCCTGTCACTATGGTGATAGAGTTAGAGACAGTGTGTGTACATCACTGCACTGCTGGGCTCACGGAGCTCTTAGCATATATCACAGAGCTACTTGTTTTCCTAGTGAATTATGATTGCTGATATTCCTGTAACGCGCCTTCCCCTTCCGTTTCTTTCTTCATATAGGGTGAACTGCCGCATGATCAGGATGTGGTAGAATACATCATGAATCAGCCAAATGTTGTTCCGAGGATCAATTCTAGGATCTTGACAGCTAAGCGAGAGTATCTGGATCTGACAGCAAGCAGTAAGGAGCTTTTCAGTAACGTTCTTCTATTTCTTAGATTATAATAGTAAGATGATAGCCCCAAATTATGATATATGCTTCTGAACTCACAGGATTTTCCTTCTAAAAAAGATAAATTCTGGGCCTGGAAAGAAGGCTCAGTGGTTAAAAATACTTGCTGCTTTTGCTGAGAACTGGGGTGTGGGATCCAGCTCCCTCTTCTAGCTTCCAAAGGCACCAGACACAAACATACATACATGCAGCCAAGACACTCTTACACATAGAATAAAAACAAATAGAGAGAGAGAGAGAGAGAGAGAAGCTGGGCGGTGGTGGCACTCAGATTTAATCCAAAAACTCAGGCGGCAGAGGCAGGAGGATCTCTGTGAGTTTGAGACCAGCCTGGTCTACAAGAGCTAGATCCAGGACAGGCTCCAAAGCCACAGAGCAGCCAGGAGCATGCAGTGGGTCAGCTCTGTTTACCTAGGGTGGCTGGGGAGCAAAAGGCAGGCACCAGTATCCTTTCCAAGAGCAACCCACTTCCTCCCAGTAAGCCGCATTTAATATACTTCACTCGTGCACCTTAGCATCTTCTGTTGTGCTCAAAGCCGATTATCAGTTGACTATTAATGGTGAATTGCATTGAGGTTTATTAATTATGCATCTGTTTAGATTTTTTTTTTCCTTTTTTCCCCCTAGATAACTTTTTTGTGGATGATTTTGCCAGATTTTCTACCTTGGACTCTAGGGGCAAGACTGCTGCTGTAGCCAACAGTCTGAACTATCTGACAAAGAAAGGTAACCCGGCTGGGCTTGTGGGCCCTGTGCATTTATTCTTTACATAATATTTGAAAATACAACTCCCATCTTACTGTCTTGGGAAAAGAAATTCCATAATGTCTTTTATTAATTTTATCTTACAATGCAAGTATAGAAAATACACATTTAAAATGTAATTCTGTATATGTGTTTAAAATTCAAATGTTTTCCTTACAAATTTTATCATTAAAATCTATAGGAAAAGCCCTTCATGGTTCAGAATGGAAAACAGTATATGAAAATGAGTTTGCCTGATTCTTTGGTAACATCATAGAGCTGATTTTATTGTAGCACTTATTGGGTAAACTAGATTCTAGAGAGCCTTGTATAATTCTTTAAAGTGATTTTATGCAGTTACTTAAAGCTACACTTGTCTAAAGTGGCTGTTTTCAGTGGCAGGCAGGTCCTTTCCCTCTGGGGCAGTTGACGTGATGACCCTTCCAGAGTAGCTGTAGTAACAATTGCTATTCTGGAAAAGCATTGCCATTAGGACAGCCCCATCTACCCTTCTGCGATCTTGCCTCTGGATTCCCATATCTGTATACATTCACACAGTTAGTTCACTGGATTTCTCAAAGATTTTGTCTCAAGGGGTCCTAGAACAGAGCTTGGGCATGGTGGGATCTAGAGCAGAAAGCAGCCCAGGCTTGTTAGCCATGTGTGATCTGCTGACTCTTCTGATGGGCATTTGATCATACAAATGACATTCTCTTTTCTTTTACTCTTTTTTCTTTGCCTTTGTCTAGGAATGTCCTCCAAGGAAATCTATGGTAACTCAAAACTCAGAATGTCCCCTTCATTTTCATAATAAATTTATATGGTTTCAGGACTATATTCAGAATTTATTGACATTTCATTGTGATGTTTCTGAAACCCGTGGGTAACATAGATTGTAGACAAACTATATAATGTTTTTATAAAACATTTATATCTATGTATAAATGTTTGGAGACCTTTCAGAAAGTTATAAATTAACATGACTAAATACTATATTGCGTTGCCCACATGTTTCATTGTATATGCTAACAGATTCCCCCAGACCACAGGCCAGTTAATCAATGCATGTTCTTAGTTTTCAATTGAGTTGCTTGGAAGATTGCTCTGCTTCATGTGGTAGAGAGTTCCACCCACTACCTTCTTGCTTTGTATCTGTGAAACCAGTCATTTTCTTACTTTTAATTTTGCATGTTTTTCAGAAATTATTTGGCCCATTTAATGTTGTAACAAAGATTATCTCTTTTTCTTCTTCTAGTCAGTTTGTTGTTTTTATTTTTCTGCAGATGATTCCTTTATTAGGCCAGTGACTTTTTGGATTGTTGGGGATTTTGATAGCCCATCTGGACGGCAGTTATTATATGATGCCATTAAACATCAGGCAAGTTTCTCAGACTTCATTCTGGGAGGGGGATTATGGAGTGTTTTGTTTGTTTTGTTTTGTGTTGGTTTGTTTCTGAGGCTCCAATTGGCTCTGTGATCAGCTCTGTGCTAGTGTGCTTATTCCAGTGTTTCTAATGTTTCTTAGTGTGCTGAGGGGAGCGAGCGTAGTGTCTTCAAAGGTTGTTAGCGCCAATGAAAAGAGGTCAAAGGCCGCAGAGCCTAGCTTCACTGGAGGGAGGGAGGGAGTAGAAAACATCACGAGAAAACATCATGAGCTTCTCAGTGTGGGATTTCCTGCGTGACTCTGCGTGTCCTTGCTGCAGTGGTCTTGCCCTGCGCTGCAACATCAAGAGAGGTCCACACGCAGGGCAGTCCCAAGCCAGCAGCTCGGTGCGTGTTCCCCATAAGAACATGCAGGCTCCCACGCGGGTGTTCACGTAGCCGCTCTAAATCAACGTGTATGTTGTAATAGGAGTTACATTGCAGTGCTGCGTGGCTGAGAAGAAATGGGTTCTTTTGGACGGTATCATTGTCAGGGTCAGAGGTGAAGATCCTTCTTCCTGGATGTTTCGCTTTGCAGCTTCATTTAGAAGTCACATTTCTCCTTGTGTCCCTTTCTAACCTGAGCTCCAGGAAGACTGACTGAAATAAGAAGGTATCTAGGGATTTTAATTTCACTGAGGTGCCAAGGGCCTTCAGTGTTTAAAACCCTGGATAGGATACTGTGGGCAGTTGAAGGTTGAGTCAGGGCAGTTCAGGTGTATACACAGGGCCCTCTAATGTACATGCAGAAACTCTTCACATGGTCCCAAGGAGACCAAGGAGGAGAGTTCTGGCTCTTAGATATATATTTCCATTGAGGTGACGTTTGCATTCATATGCTTAGTGTCACAAGCAAGTATGTCCCGGTGTCCACCACCCAGATCCAAAAATAATGACGTCATTGAAGGTCCCCTAGCCACTGCTCCCCTCCCTCTTCTTCTGTCATAAAAGCTTAGGATGCTTCTTACACTCAGCATTTCTGTGAGCTGACTTTTTAAATTCCAGTGACTTTTTTAAAGAATGTTTTGTGTAGGCCAAAGAGGCCACCAGAGCCCCTAGAACTGGAGTTATGTATAGCTGTGAGCTGTTACATGGGCGCTGTGAACCGAAGAGAGTTTTCTAAAAGAGCAATAAGTGCTGTTAGCAACTGAGCCATCTCTCCAGATCCTGACCCCCTTTTTTTGGTTTGTGTGTGTTTTCATTACATTTTAGTTTATTTATTTATGGGAAGAAGCACATCCATGGCGAGGTGCATATGTGGAGATCAGAAGACATCTTAGGGAAGCACTTTCCTTCCACCCTAAGGGCCACAGGGTTGAACTCAGGTCTTAACTGGTGCAAACACCCGCACTGGCTAAGCCATCTCACTGGGCGGCTTACATCCGTGATACCTGTGAGCCCTGTTTGCTTTTGTGGTCTTCTGTTTCTCCTGTGTGCACTCATGTTTTAGTTCTGTTCGATAGTCTACCTTTTTACCCAGGGGGAGTTTCAGGGTTGCTGGCGTCTGAAAAGGCCAGGAGAATGAAGATGGGAGAGCAGGACTTTAGGAAGATGAAATGCAGTTAGAGCATAAAATGTGTGAGGGACACCGCACTCTTGAGGTCTGCTGTTTATAGAAGTGAAGTTGGAAAGGAAGTCTGGAGCCGGTTCTTACAGTATTTGGCAGACTTGACCTTACACATCATCTGAATTTTATTTTGACTACAGACAACTACTGAAGATGTTTAGAAGAGATATTGCTACTGTGGAGTATGACTAATGTGTGCCCCCTTGGAGGCAGGGCCTCACCATGTGACTCTGGTCTGGCTGTTTAGCCCAGGCTGGCTTTCAGAATCTTTCTGTCTCTGTTCCTGAGTGCTAAGATTAAAGACGCATGCACCACCATGCCTTTTTAAGTTCTTAACACGTGCCATGTAATTCTTATCTCCCTTTTTCAAATAGAAAACCAGTAACAACGTTAGGATAAGTATGATCAATAATCCCAGTCAAGAGATAAGTTACTCGAACACTCCAATCTTCAGAGCCATCTGGGCGGCTCTCCAAACACAGACTTCCAACTCGGCTAAGAACTTCATCACCAAAATGGCGAAAGAGGAGACGGCAGAGGCCTTGGCCGCAGGAGTGGACATCGGGGAGTTCTCTGTTGGGGTAAGACTCCAGGTTCTGAGGCTAGGCCGGCCATTCATGTTTCTCTCCTGGGCTGATGTTATACTATTCATGATAGGGTTTGTCTTCGCTTCTGAGTCTCAGGATATTTTTTGTTGTTGTTGAGTTAGAATCTTAATGTCGTGTTACATTTTACTTTCAAACTTGTTCAGTTTCGAGAGGTTCAGGGTACAAGTTTGTGCCACTTTGTATGATCTTTAAAAAGTAGTATTTGACTTCTTTATAAAGTAAAAAAAACAGATTATAGTTTTAAATTTTCTTATAAAGTCATGAGTATATTGATTTTCAGTTAGAGGAAATGGCTGTCACCTGAAGTTATACCAAGATTTAAAATTGCAAAATTAAGTTATTGAGAATAGACTTCCAGGTAAACAAATGAGTAGAAAGGAGGAAAATGGAATGAGCTGTTTACAAGGAGGCATAAAGAAGAGAAAATGGAGAATTGAGATGTTCTAATGTTAATTCTGAAATTTGGTTATTACTTTTCACAAAAGCACTTTCTAGTTTACTCATAGTTATTATTCAGTTATGTGGTTTTTTTGTTTAATAACCATAACTTTTCTTAAAAATGATTACTTCCTAGGGCATGGATGTCAGTCTTTTTAAAGAGGCCTTTGAGTCTTCCAAAATGGATTCCGTTTTGTCTCATGCCCTGTACTGCAGGGATGTTCTGAAGCTGAAGAAGGGGCAGAGAGTGGTAGTCAGCAATGGAAGGGTGAGCACTCTCTGGGCTGTGGAGCTTGCCTGTGATGGGGCTTTAGCTGTCTGCTCCTTTGACATGTCCCGTGGTCTGCACTGCTAGTTCATTCAGTTTGCTTAGAAAGTTAACGTGAAACACACGTCTCTACTGTCTGCGGAATAAATAGGTAAACAGTAATTGGGTTTTTCAGGCTCTCGTTTTTTTATTTTTCATTCATTTTAAGATGTGCTCCAGGGTTGGGGTTGTAAGACACTTTGGAATGTCCGGTAACCCAGGGCTAGCAGAGGCGTCACAGCCACTGATGACCACCACTTTGCAACTTGGCCCTGCCCTTTACCTCACAGATTATTGGGCCTCTGGAGGAGAATGAGCTCTTTAACCAAGACGATTTCCACCTCCTAGAAAATATCATCTTGAAAACATCGGGACAGAAAATAAAATCTCATATCCAACAGCTTCACGTAGAAGAAGACGTGTAAGTTTTTATAATCAGTAACTAGTTAGATAATAAACAAAAATGGTTTTCTAATTAGAGGCTAGATCATGCCACAGAATTTTTATTAATTTCACCTTACTATATGTTTACTATCAAAAATTACCAAGTCAGTGGGTTTATTTCCAGTTTTACTGTAATAATGCTCAGGCTTTCAGTTAAGTTTCTGATTCCTCTCCAGGTTGAATCTGGAGAAGTTCAAATACACGTAGAAGCAGAGGGCCGCGTCTGTTTTCTGCTGGATGCGTGTGTAGAGGCTGTCGCTGGCTCTTTGGTCTCCATCAGTTTCATTGTGTTGGGAGGAAATGCATGCTCACTTCTAGTCTTCATCATTTTAAATCCCCCTTTTTTTTGGGGGGGGGTGAGGTGGGGATTGTCTTGTTTAATTGTGGGCATTCCTTTGATTCTAGATGTCAGTTCCCTATCAGATCTGTTATTTGAAAATATTTTCCCTATTCCCTTAGTTGACCTTTTTACCCTTTGAATTTGCCATTTGAGTCATAGTTGGAGGATATAAAGACATTAAAGGTCTCTCTTTTTTTCCTTCATCTTTTTCATGTACTGCATCTTTTAGTGACGTGTTATCTTGGATAGCTGCCAAACTAGCCCCTTTGTCATGTGATACAGTTATTTTGTGATTGTGATGCAGTGGGTGTTGGAGCCTCGGCCCTCATGTATGCTAGGAAAGTTCTCTACCGCTGAGCTACTTCCCCAGACTGGGAAACAGCCCTTTCCATCTGACTCAGTGCTGGGGCCGAGGTGAAGTGGTTTCTTCCTGCTTCAGTGGCTTTGAGTGGTACCCTGTGTGGCTCGGGAGGCACCTCCCTGAGGCCACACACTTTCAGTGTCTCCAGGGCCACTGTGTTTCGGGGCAGTCCCCTGTCACTGTGCATGCTTTCAGAAACTTGTCTGTGTGCTCTTTGATCTTGGTGCTTTGTGATGTCTAAGAAGTTGCTTGCTGCTCTGTGTGCCAGAAGTGTTCACTGCCTACACACGGGAAGTTAAGTAAGTTGTTTCTGATGTGATGGGCTCAGAGAGAAATGTGCAGACTTGTTATAGTTGAAGTCTATCACAGCTGTTCTTTTGAGTGCCTTACCTGGCGTGTTGTATTCAAGTCTAGCTTCTTTAGCCTCATGACATACATAGTTCAAGATCTCTGTTGGTTATAAATCAGCACAGAGGGGCTTAGCAGGCCAGTAAGATGATTCAGTGAATAAGAACCTCAGTTTGATTCTTGGGATCCATATGGTAGAGAGGGATAACCAGCTCTTTGAGTTGTTCTCTGATGCCCACATGTGAGAACACACACATGCACACAAATAAATAAAGCTAATTAAAAATTTTCTTTAAGTAGAGAGAGGTATGAACCCAGTACCAAAAGGCATGATTCTATGTTTCCATCCCTAGTGCAACATTGGTCCATTTTGGTGCCTTTGAGGTTCCTTAATGTATTAAATAAATAACATAAAATAAAATGAAACAAAAAAAATCTTCATTTTTACCTACCCCCTCTTTTAAACCACCTTGGTGGCATTAATTCTGTGTTTGGGCTGATGGTGTTCAGCAATAATTAGGAAATCTGCAGGTAAAATGATGCTAAGATGTCATAACTCCATCTTTTAGGGCAAGTGACTTGGTAATGAAGGTGGATTCTCTCCTGTCAGCACAGCCCAAAGGAGAGGCAAGGATCGACTACCAGTTCTTTGAAGACAAACACAGGTATAGAATTAGTATACATTCCTGAATATTAAACTCGTAGGCTTTTGTGTGTGTGTGTGTGTCCTTTGTTTTTCCATATAAGGTTTTAGAAAACTTATATATTATAGAGAAATGAGAAGTTTAGTGTGTGGTTTTCTTTGTATGTTAGTGTTCACATATAAAATGAAGTTTCATATATAAAATTCAATTTCATGAAAGTTGGTATTTCTAAATAAACTTGAAATAATTCTGAATATTAATGAAATAGAACGGCTATAATTTCCTGGTAATCAGGAGTAGCCAGATTACTTAAATACTAGTTAAATACCTGTCTCTTATTAAAAAAAAAAACAAAAAAAAAAAAACTAATGTTTCCAGTAAATAAAAATGTATTTAGGATTTGGAGATTATTCCTTTTTTATTCTTCAGGTTTTTGTTTTGAGGTTTCAAACACGGATGAAATTGCAAGACTTGCAAAGGATAACTGTGTTTGTAGCTATATTCACGGTTACTGGTGTGCCATATTTGTTATTTCCCATCTGGTGTGCAGTGTGTGTATGTGCACTCACGTCTTCTTTTCTAGCATTTGAAAGTTTACTGCTGACATGATGTGGCATGTCTAAAGTGTTCCGTCTGTGGAAACCTGGTCCACAGTACTGAGAAACATGCCCTTCGTCCAGCAGTGCTAACACTGGATCTCTGTTCAGAATTCTCACGTGTCCTTTACTCTAAAAGAGCTCTGCCCACTCTCCCTTTCTTTTATAGCATAGATTTCTCTAAGAGCCCAGGCAGATCATCTTTGCGACCCACAGTGTCGGGTACTCCCTCAAGGCTGAAGAGCTCAAAACACCAGCCGTCGCTCTCCTCATTTAAATGTTTTACTTTTATTATTTCTGACCATGTGTCTGTGTGAATGTGTGCACATGTCTGCAGGTGCCTGTAGAGGCCTCAGGCTGTCGGCTCCCTCCTGGGGCTTGAGTTATAGGCGGTTGTGAGATGCCTGATGTAGAGACTGGGAACCAGACTCGGGTTCTCTTCAAAGGCATCTGCATTCTTAACTGCTGAGCTGTCTCTCCTCATTGCCTTTCCCCCTCCCAGCCCTACCCTGCTGTCTAATGTGGGGCCTGTGCATGCTAAGCAGTCACTCTGCCCCTGAGCTACATCTTCAGCCTTCTCCAAGTTTCTCATGTCACTTGTAGGCAGAGGCCCCGGGCCCAGGGTAACCCTGGTGGTAGTTTGCCTCTGGCTGCTGTGCGCACGCGCTTTCCTCTTCTCCACACCGCGTGCGCGGCACTCTGTAACAAGGAACTAGTTAGGAGCACAGGAGCAGTGACTGATCTGCTGCCCCATCTGCCTTTCGCAGCCCAGAAAGCGGGTCTCCACTGAAGCCCGAGCCCTCGCTGGCATCCTTTTCTCTGTGATCTCTGTGAGTTTACATGATTAAAATTGTCCTAGTTACAAATTCCGTTATAATACAATAGAAATCCTTACTGCTGTGATGTTACCCGGTATTTGATACATGTAAATCAAAATTTCTCATTCCTATTTTATTAAAAAGTGTTATCCATTCAGCTCATCATGTGAATTCTTTGTTTCTAATTTTTCAATATGCTCAGACTTGCTTTACTCAAATTCCACTTAATTATTACATAAAAATAATCATTTCTTTTAAAAGATGTATTTCTTTATATGTATGCAGTGTCCTGCTTGCATGTATGCCTGTCCTCCAGAAGAGGGCGCTAGAGCTCATTAGAGATGGCTGTGAGCCCATGGAAGAGCAGCCAGTACTCTTAACCTCGGTCCCATCTCTCCAGCCCTAGTTATCATTTCTCCTGCAAATAGGAATGACTATGGATCCGGGTAGTGGTACATGCCTTTAATCCCAGCACTCAGGAAGCAGAGGCAGAGGCAGATAGCTCTCTGAGTTCGAGCCAGCCTGCTTCCAGGACAGACAGGGCTACATACACAGTGAGACCCTGTCTTAAAAAACAAACAACAAAAATTACTACGCTATCAATTCTGCGTGCCCTTAGTGTGGGTCTCAGACCATCAGCAACAGGGTATTGTCTGGGAGCCTGCTGAATGATCTTTGGCCCTACAGCAAACCTGTTGTATCAGTATCTGCCTCATAGCAAGATTCCCGTGAACTTAATTTGGGAGGGCACCGTCTTCTTGGATATCTGCTCTATTCATCCAATGGGAATGTGTGGTCTTCTATCATATTTGGCTTCAGTCTAGAGTTTTCTCTCCCCAGTACATCAAGTACATGGTGCCATTCTCCTGTGTCTGTTATTTCTTGAGTTTTCATGGCCCCCTTTCCTTGTTATAGAACACAGGAGTGATTTTTAAAAATTAATTTGATTTTTTTTTGTTATATGGGTGATTTGTCCATGTGTAAACCTATACACCCATGTACACGCAGTGTCCACAGAGAGCAGAAAAAGACTTTGGATCCCCTAGAACTGGAGTTAGGGATGGTTGTTAACACCCATGGGGGCGATTTTTAGAGAATAGCTACAGAAAAATAGCTGTCTTGTACTGAAGTAATGACTGTTTCCAAAGCATCTGACATTTAAAATAACCACCAGCAGCAACGGAACCGTTGCTACCTGGGTTGCTGGTTGTGCTCTGCTTTGTGTCGTGCTGTTTGTTAGCACGGGGGCAAATGTTCTTGACTGTCACACTTTGATCAGATCAAACAAAGCAGTAAATGATTTTAGACAAGTGGGTGAAGTCTTAACCCTTTGAGAGTCAGTGCTTTTCTGCTCTTTGCATTTGCCTGTGTTAGAGCTTTTCTTGGGGCATGCTGCTGCAATGCTAGTGTGAGCAGAGGACAGGTCTCTTCAGAGCATGCTCCTGTCTCCAGAGCCGGCATTCGGCATGTCTGTGCTCGGTAGCTCCTAGTCCCGCCAACCACAGCCTCATACAGGGACCAATCACAAGCTGCACTGAGGCATAGATCCTTCTGTAGCTTTAGTCTCACAGTCGATCACCCTTTTAGTCTGTTGGTCCTGATCTGCATATATTTTGAAATGCTAAGAGGGCTGAAGAGTTGATACACTACAGTATTCCTCCTCAGCTTTGTTTCCTGTTACCTCTGTGTTAATGTTTTGTTCTTTTGATTTGTTTTTTTTTTCCAGTGCAATTAAACTGAAGCCCAATGAAGGGGACACATACTACGATGTGGTAGCTGTTGTTGACCCTGTCACAAGAGAAGCACAGAGGCTCGCCCCCTTGCTCTTGGTAGGCTGCTATGGCGGTGTTTCTTATCTTAATGAAGTCTAGGCCCTATGATTTTCTGGGTACTTCCTTAGTCTCTGAGACATCTTCTAGAGGAGTTGGACAATACATTTTCATAAGTTTAATAAAGGCTCATTTTCCTTATGAATTGAATCATATCTTTTAGTTATGTGCTATACTTTAATGTATAGTTAAAATGCTAATACAACACCCTAACATTTCATTTAAGTGTGTGTGTGTCTGTGTGTGCGCGCATGCGCGCGCGCGCACATATGTGCATTCTAGGATCGGAACATGGACATGGAGCCTTACAATGTGCTATGTGTGTACTCTGCCAAATGAGGTATATCTCTAGCCCTAGCTGGGATGTTTTAGGATAGTATGATCACCTACTCTTCTCTGTAGGTATTAATATATATTTCTTTTCATGCTTTTTAGTGTGAATTGAAGCAATGAGCTGTTGTGTTTTCCTTTGTAGCTAAATATTCATCACTTATCTGCTTGTTCCTCATAACTGAATGCTGAACTTTGTGTGAGAAGTGATCTGCAATAACCTTTATTTTTAAAAAAAAAAAAAAAAAAAAAAAAAAAAAAAAGTTCATTCAGTTGGTCAGTTAGTCTGTCTGTCTGCACACTTGTCATGGTACATAGGTAGAGATCAGAGGGCATTATGAAAGAGTCAGTTCTTACTGGGCATGGTGGTGCATGTCTTTAGTCCCTGCACTTGGGACTCTGATGCACAGGTGCATCTCTGTGAGTTTGAGGCCAGCCTGGTCTACAGAGAGTTCCAGGACATCCAAGAGAAACCCTGTCTCAACACACAAACAAAAATTCAAGTCTTGCCTTCTATCATTTGGGTCTCAGGGATCAAACTTGGGTTGTAAGTGTTGGCAGCACGCACCGCACCGTTACCTGCGGGGCCATTTCATCACTCTACCCCGCCCCCTCTGGGGCTGTGCCTGAAGTTGAATGGCAGACTCTGCATTGGGAGCTCTGATTTTCACTTCTCCCGTGCAGGTGTAATGGCAGGTGTTATCTCTGTCTGTCTTCCTGAGATGTTAAAAATGTTGTTTCCTAGCTAATTGTGAAATGATGTTTTAGAGGAGAAACCCTAAATACTTTGTCGTCTGGTTTGCCTTTTTAGGTTTTGACTCAGCTGATAAACATGAATCTAAGAGTATTTATGAATTGCCAATCTAAACTTTCGGACATGCCTTTAAAAAGGTAAAAATCCAATTACGGAACCTTTTTTGAGTGGTGCCAAATCTACAAGTTAGTACTAAATGCTGGTCAATCCGGTGGATTGATAGACAGATGTTGTTTGAACGGACATGTACTGACTGTTGAGTTATGTCACATATTTTCTCTAGTTAGACATTCTAAAAACACATGTGGGCTTGGAAGCATTTAGATGGCACCAATCCAAGCTCCTTGCACATTTGTGGCTCACTTTAAAAGAGCTGTAGCCATTAGTTGCCACGAGTAGGAAGCTTACTGTACTTACTGTACTTATTCTCATGCATTCTGGGGAACTGGATAGGCTTGGTTGTGGGGTGGCCGGTTGTGCTAGAAGTGTCCCAATGATAGTAGTAGCTTAGCACATGCTCTGGCTGTGGGAAATGTCTTCCTCGATGAGGGACAGAGTTCTAGTTAGTCTCTAAGTGGATCCCAACAATTTACAAAGAATGAAGAGCCCAGCTTCACTGTTTGCCTTGTATTAAGATATGTTTAGTTATTACATAAAATGTTTTCAGTGCTGGATGACAGCACAGGCACCGTGGGCTCAGACCTTAAGAGAAAACGGGTTCCCCTCAAACTGGAGAACTGCGTCTGAAAGGGGCGGTCTTCCGAATTCTTCCCTCCTTCTCCTCTTGACTCTGTAGCAGCCCTGGGAGGCGTCGCTAGACCAAAGGGTGGTTTTGCCTATTCATTTCCTGATCTGGAAGGATGCTGTCCAAACCTACTTTTTTGTTAAACTGTGTGGACCCCTATGATTGTGATTGCATCAAGAAAGCCTAACACTCCTATTTTCATTTCAGCTTTTATCGTTACGTCTTAGAACCAGAGATCTCTTTCACCGCAGACAACAGCTTTGCGAAGGGACCAATAGCAAAGTTTCTGGATATGCCCCAGTCTCCCCTGTTCACTTTGAATTTGAACACGCCTGAGAGTTGGATGGTAGAATCCGTCAGAACACCGTATGATCTTGACAATATTTATCTAGAAGAGGTAAGAGTATCATTGTCTCCGAATATGCACTCATGTATGAAGTCCGTCTGTAGTTCAGGGTCGCGGTGTGTTTCGGCGTGTGCATAGAGTTCAGGGTCGCGGTGTGAGTTTCGGTGTGTGTGTATAGAGTTCAGGGTCGCGGTGTGTTTCGGCGTGTGCATAGAGTTCAGGGTCGCAGTGTAGTTCGGCGTGTGCATAGAGTTCAGGGTCGTGGTGTAGTTCGGCGTGTGCATAGAGTACAGGGTCGCGGTGTGTTTCGGCGTGTGCATAGAGTTCAGGGTCACGGTGTGTTTCGGCGTGTGCATAGAGTTCAGGGTCACGGTGTGTTTCGGCGTGTGCATAGAGTTCAGGGTCACGGTGTGTTTCGGCGTGTGCATAGACTGTGCCGCCCTCTTTGCTGTCTTAGTTTAGCTGGCGATCGTCGCCGTCACAATCAGCTCCCTGTCTGTGTTTGTTACTTTTCTCGTTGCATCCAAGTGCATGTAAGAGAGCCGTGATTTATTTTGGCTCATAGGGTGGGGTCCATCATGTAGGGAAGATGTGGCACTGGAAGTGGTTTGGTCTATAGCACCGACCAGAGAAAGAATTCAGTGACTTCCTGCCTCCCTTCCTCCCTCCCTCCCTTCTCCTTTCCCTCCCTTGGTTCATTTATTTATTTGTTTGTTTATACAGTGTTCTGACTGTATATATAATATCCCTACAGGCCAGAAGAGGGTGCCAGATCTCATTACAGACGGTTGTGAGCCACCACGTGGTTGCTGGGAATTGAACTCAGGACCCCTGGAAGAGCAGCCAATGCTCTTAACACTGAGCCATCTCTCTTGCGCCCCCCCCCCCCTTACTCATTTCAGGGTCCCAGCCCATGAACCGTGCTTCCAAATCTAGTCAGATTGTCAGTGAGTACTCGTTAACACTCACCCGTTATTCTCGCTGGCAGTCACTGACTCTGCTTCTCTGAGCCTTCCTAATCTGACACTGGCTGAGTAGTTAATTATTCAACAAGTAGTCTTTAGTGACTGACTTTTTTCACTTGACAAATTGTTTTCCAAGGTTCAGGCATGTGATAATAACTATCAGTACTTTATTTTGACTGCCAGATAGTATTGCATTATTTGGAAATAGCGTGTGAACACTGGATTGTTTCTATTGCTGGCTCTTAGGAGGATGCTTCTGTGGATATTATGTACAAGCTGTACCCATTCATTTCCATAAGATGTAAATTCTTTTTCTTTATTTAGGGCTTTTCACGCCAACATGGAAAATCTTGTCGTCTCATCTATATTTTTGGAATGACTTTATTATCTTTTCTTCTTTCTCCAATCAAGATTTTATAATTGTAGTTATTAGCCACTGTCTCAATCAAGATCTAGAACATTTTATTCCAAGAATCCCTTTGTAGATTGCCTCCTTCCCCCACAATAATCAGTGAATGATCTACTTTCCAAAATCATGTCTTTGCCTTTTCTTAAAGTCAGAAAAGGTGTATTATTTAGTATTTTTATTTGGTTTGTTTTTGATGGGATCTGTGCCGTGCTCTGCATGTAGATGTCAGGGATCAGCTGTGGACACCAGACACCTTCTACCATGTAGAAATGGGGATCAAGCTCATCAGCCTCAGTGGCAAGCGCTTTTACCCACTCCACTACCTCCCTGACCCCTACAGATGGCATTTGAGTGCACATGTGTAATATGCAGGTGGTTTAATTGTGACTTTTCAGGTGGACAGTGTAGTGACTGCTGAGTATGAGCTGGAATACCTGTTATTAGAAGGTCATTGCTACGACATCACCACAGGCCAGCCCCCTCGAGGACTACAGTTCACTTTAGGAACTTCAGCCAACCCAACAATTGTGGACACCATTGTGATGGCCAATCTGGTAAGTAACGTTTATCAGATGCTTCAGTCCTGGCAATTTAGATGCTAGAATTTATGACAGAGCAGTTACCGTTCTGAACAGTGGCATTCAGAAATAAGAATTAACTATGGACCAGATGTACTCACTGAAAAGTCAGTGGTTTGGTTAAGGGATTCCATTTATATGCCAAACAACAGAACGTACCGCAGAGTTCTGCTAGCCCCTCTTCATCGTGAGTTTCCCGCACACTCCCCCGTCACACCTTTTCCTCAGGAGAGCAAGCGGTCAGGCTTCTCGGCTTCACCGGCTCTGTTCTGCTAGAGCTATTTGGTTTTTGGCTTGTTTGTTTGCTAGTTTTGTTTGTTGGTTGGTTTGCTTTGCTTTGCTTTACATTTCCCTGATGTGTTACTGTCTTTTAATTTTTTTTAAATTGTCACAGCAGTAAGGCCCTGGGTTCAATACCCAGTACAACCCACTAGCCCCCACCCCCTAAAAAGAAAGGAGGGTAGGTAGTAGGTATACACACACGATCTGACGCCTCAAAAGAAAAAGTAGGTATCTGTCAGAAACAACATTTTGAAGTCTTAAAGAGAACTGAAATCTTACTTTCTTTGTGTCCTAGGGATATTTTCAGCTCAAAGCCAACCCGGGAGCCTGGATTCTCAGACTGAGGAAGGGGCGCTCTGATGATATTTATAGAATCTACAGGTAGGATCGAGTAGTGCAGTTGCATTTTAAAAGAGACTCCACTTTAATCGGGTGTTATCCGGCCTCCCCTCGGGCTTCATGAATTTAATTTACAGACATATGTAACAAAACCAAGCTTTCTAGTACAGGAAGTGTGGGTGAATTTTTAGAGGGGAATTGGATGACAGGAGGTATAAATACTTGTTATAGAGAAGTTTGTTCTCCACTGTATCAGAATGAAGTAGGTCCTTCCCTGTGATGTAGACAGCAGGCGGCAGCTGTGTGTACTTGGTGATATCTGACTTGGAAACTAAGTGGGCTTGGCATGTTTGGTACATTGATGGCGCTGTGAACACGGAACATGGGTGTTTTGACCATGAGATCTGACTGTCAGTCTTGGTCCTTGGGCTGGGATTATATAGATGTACTCCTAGAACATACTCTAGTGGCGGGAGTTAGCCTTAGTTCTGTGTCAGTTTATTTAGGGAATGGTTTTCATCATTTGAATACAGAGAAGCATGAATTAGTGTTTTTGGTTTTGATGCAGAATGTTTTTTTTTTTGCTCTCTTGCCCAGGCTTGAACTGGGTTCAAGTGAACCTTCTTATGCCTTAGTCTCCCGAGTAACTGAGACTGCAGGCATGTGCCACCACACCAGTTTGGTGCAGAGTTTTGTGCTGTAAAATGTCCTTATTGTAAATAGTAGACTTTTCGCCGATGAAGTGATTTTCTAGGTAAGGCTTCACAGAATGATGTCTCTGAATTCTCTTTCTTCTATGTGCCCTCTCTGTCCATCTTCCTCCTCGCCTAGGGCTATACTGCCATCTTCTTCCTTGGCTTCCTGTGCCCCCCAAGTGGACAGCCCTGTCTCTGGAGTTTTCTGTACTTCAGCTTTCTCCCCTCTTCCCCAGGAACCCTGCTGTCTGCGGGATGACAGCAGACACGGTGACTTCCAGATATTTGGTGACCAGGAAAGGAAATAGGATTAGTAGGAAAAAGTACTTAAAATTTTCTCCCTCTGCTCCCGCACCTCCAGACAGAGCTGGGTGTGATGTAGACTCTAGCAGAGGCGCAGGGTTGAGTCTGTGTTCTACACTTGCCTGGTTGGGTTGTCCCCCGACAGAAGGCAAGAATGGATTGCTGCTGTTGCTTTCCTTACCCACCCTGCAGCCCAGTCTGCATTGACCTCTGCTGCTTCCTGTGGGGTTACAGGTGTGAGTCACTGCGTTCAGCCAAGAGTAGATTTCTTCACATCGCTGGTCCAGTTAAAAGGTAGAAATGGCCTCAGTGATGATAGGCCCGAGTGCGCAGACCTATGACATACGCAGGAGTTGATGATCTGTCACATGTGTACCCTGCCTGAGAAGCTGTCACTGTTTGCCTTCTAACCTGAGGGAGGATTCAGGAAGGAACTCAGCTCACTTAGTCTAGAGATGGAGATTTCCATGAACACTTCTTTGTCCCACAAAGGTGATTCTTTTAGGAACTGTCGGACAAACGCAGCAGTTGTCTGGGTATTTGCTGCATTTGGGGGATTGTGATTTGTATTCTCCACCTTGTTTTTCTCTCTTAAGCCACGATGGCACAGATTCTCCTCCTGATGCAAATGATGTTGTTGTTATCCTCAATAACTTCAAAAGCAAGATCATCAAAGTGAAGGTAAGTTTGCTCAGTCTTGGGAGCCTCTTGTTTATAGTTGGTAAATAGCCCCATTCAGACACTGTTAGAAAAATCCGAATAGCAATCCCTCCTGTGGGGGACGGCAAGATCTAGTGATCACAGCCAGCCGCTGTCTGACGATACTGGCACCTGGTGACTGTTTCCCGGAGAGCACATTCACATTGGTGTATTAGAATACTGTTGTATGTTCCATGTTACTGTTAGCTATTGTTGTGAATCTTATGTTGCCTAATTTACAGACTAAGCTTTATCATAAATAGTATGAGCAGAGCTATATAGTATTTATCAGGGCTCTCTGTTGTCTGGGATTTCGTGCATCCACTAGGGACTTGGAGTGTTTCCCAGCAAGTAAAGGGGGACAAACTGCATTTTGAAGTCAGGCTGGTATTGCGTTTGGGGGTGGTGGTTGTTTTAGGGATGCTGCTTAAGGGAAATGTGTTTGTGAAGACAAGCTTCTGGTTTTCTTCAGCCAGAGATCTGTGACCTCAGAGAGCACTGCTAGTCCCGTTTCACACAGAATCCTCAGAGACTTTGTCCCTGACCCCTGCTCCTTTTCAGACAGTGTCTCTAGCCCTGATTGGCCTGGGACTTGCTGGGTACACCAGACTGGCCTTGAACTCACCAATACATCTGTCTGCCTCCCAAATGCTAGGGTTAAAGGCATCTACTACCTTGCCTGCTAGACCAGCTTTGCCATTTTATGTATAGAAATGTGTTTGTATGACTCTATGCCACACATGTACAGGTGCCCAGGCCAGAAGAGAGTGTTGATACCCTTTGGAGCTGGAGTTACAGGTAGTTGTGAGCTACCCAATGTGGGTGCTGAGAACTTGGGTCCTCTGGAAGAGGAGTATGTACTCTGCACCACTGAGTCGTCTCTCTAGCCCTGGCTTTGACAGTTTTACTTTTTCTTTTGTTTTTTTCGAGACAGGGTTTCTCTGTGGCTTTGGAGCCTATCCTGGCACTCACTCTATAGCCCAGGCTGGCCTGGAACTCACAAAGATCCGCCTGCCTCCGCCTCTCCAGTGCTGACATTAAAGGTGTGCACCACCAACGCCCCGCTGGCTTTGACGTTTTTTATACACACAATTCATAGTGTTTTTTGAAGATGGAGTTTCTGTCCCACCTAGTCCCACAGCTGTTTAGACCCAAGTAAACACACAGAGGCTTATATCAATTGTAAACTGTTGGCTGACGGCTTAGGCTTCTTACTGGCTAGCCCTCTCTTAATTTTAACCCATAGCTATTAATCTGTGTAGTTTCTCTCCATGTCCCCTCCCCAGAATCCTCCTTGTCTGGTGGCCCCGCCTATATTTCCTCCCTGGCCACTGGCCAATCAGTGTTCTAGTCATCAACCAATAAGAGAGACACATATTCAGAAGGACGTCCCCCGTCAGTGTTTGATTGCTTAGTCTCATAAGGAAATCCCAGTGGCAACAGTAAGATTATAGCTAATATAGGCACTGTAGTGCACATCTGTGATCCCAGTACTTAGGGGCTTAGAGGCAGGAAGATCAGGACTTCAGTGTTAGCCTGCACTGCACAGTGAATTTGAGACCACCGTGGCTGGCACCGTTCCTTGTCTCGGGAAACAAACAAAATACAAACAATAGGTGATTTTATTACTATCTCTCCTCAACATGCTGAAGTGCTTTGTCTTGAAGTAAAATGATTGTAGGATAAGTAACTATTGTACATGGTCAAACCTAAAGTCAGCCAGAAGAAATATTCTTCTGGGTTACTCACTCTGCGTTTCTGTGCAGCTGAATTTGGTCTTTGGCTCAGTGTACGAAATGAGTTTGATTACCATGCAATCCAAAGAGATTGCTAGCTCCTCCTGAAGGCTTTAACGTGGTCATTCTGATACACCTACTCCCACTGGACACCGAGCGGCTGGATGGGTTCTAGTGTAGAATCGGTTGGTTGTTTCCTGTTGACAGCACTCCATGAGCACCCAGGGCAGTCAGGCTTGTGTCTGTCGGGGCCCCTGGGAGTCATGTGCAATTGCAATTGCAGGTGCAGAAGAGAGCAGACATGGTGAACGAAGACTTGCTGAGTGACGGAGCGAACGAGAACGAGTCTGGATTTTGGGACTCATTCAAATGGTAACGTGGTATCACAAAAGGGTTAACATTTTGAAGGAAAGACTGACAGATGCATGCCACGCACCCTTGTTAGTATGGTGATTTGGGGTGGCTTCTGAGCGCCTGCTTCATGCAGCTAGATTGTCCCCTTTTGGCTGGAGTAGAGGAATGCTTGCCATTTGATTAAGAGAGGGGAAGTGTTCTTACACATAGCTTGCTTCTGCTGCACACTTTTCACTCTTGATGGGTGGAGCCGCTCCTGGGGGAGAGATGGCCATTGTTCTCCCATTGGACATGTGTTCTGAAATGGTACGGTACCTCGTGGTACCTTTTTACCTTGTGAGCCGGCCTTGTTCCTGTGCTCCCTCTTAGCATCTTTGTGTGCGGCTTCCACCACATCTTACCCCTAGAGCAGGAAGATACAGACGCTGTCTCTTTTCTCCTGAAAGGTTGTGTCTGCCCCGCATTGTAAGTGGTTCTGTTTCTAATTCTGTTGTTACAGGGGCTTTTCGGGACAGGCGACTGAGGAGGTGAAGCAAGGAAAGGATGACATAATCAATATTTTCTCTGTTGCATCTGGTCATCTCTATGAAAGATTTCTTCGGTTAGTCTTTATCATTTGTATGTAAATGAATTTGTTATAGCAGTCTTATTTTGCGAGAAAGGTTTTGCTCGCTGTGCTGTGTGAACCTATATGAAGTACCAGTAGGACTGGATAGCTCGCCACATACAGTTCTATTGGTTTTGATCTGGTTCGCTCGGTGAAGTTAGTGTTTGTGTGGGTATTACAAGGCTGTAGACCTTCAGTACCTTATAGACAGTTGTTGGTTCCTGGACCATAAGTATTGCTTAAACCAGAAACTAGGGAATTGACACAGACTAGACCATAACTGTGTAGCGCTCGGCCACCTCCTACAGACCCACGTGGCTTTAGAGGCAGATCTTAGTTCTGTGTGAGAACGCCCTTGCTTGAAAACCTCAGACTGGAATGTAAGGGGTTTGCTGAGGTCGGGCAGCTGAGAGCAGAACAGACATCGCCGAAGATGTGATGTTACCAGATGAAGGGGCCAGTTTGTCACTGTGCCTGGGAGCTCAGTGTTGAGGGCACATTACTTAACTGTCAGTGTCCCAATTTCAGAGCTATTTTTCCTCTTAGTTTCATTATAAAGCTGGCATAAGAAATAAAAAGAGTATCAACTGGGTAATTTCTAGTTCTTCTTTTTCCGGTATTTAGCTAAGTAAAATAACAACAGTGGTGATAACTCAACTGCATTTCTTGGCCTGGGAACCCTGAGCCTGAGCCCTGTGGTTTCTCTCCCCACGTCCTGCTCCCCTTACTCTCAAGGCTCTGTGTCCACGCTGACAGAGGCTGTGCATATCCCCAATGTTTGCTCCGTACCAGATGTTGCTGTGCCTGAGCACAGGGTTCTGGAGAATGATGTAGTCATGCTGTGACATCCAGTTCATGAGCTGGCTCATTCAAACACGCAGCATAAGCAGCACTTGCCTCTAACTTGCCTCTATCTGTTCAGAATGCACTTGCAGGGAAACCCTCGTCTCCCTCATTCAGTGACCTCTGTATAGTACAGTATACAGTGAAGGTCTCTTTGCCTAATTGAACCAAGAGTTAGCTCTGCTGACAGTCTTGTGATTTTTGTTTTCCCCCCCCCCCCCCCCCCTCTGCTTAATGTTGTTGGGTTAAAAAGCATTGGAAAAATCATTGTCTGTTTTGTTTGGCAGCATAATGATGCTCTCAGTGCTGAAGAATACCAAAACTCCTGTGAAATTCTGGTTCTTGAAGAATTATTTGTCCCCCACATTTAAGGTTTGTTTGTGCATGGGGAAAAGGAAAACCTTGTCAAGGGAATATTTACACTGTAACATACTCTTTTCTACTCTTGTTTTATCTGTACCTTTTATTATATACCCTAATATCGTTATGTATTTATATATTTTATATATAAAAATATATATGTATGTAATATACATATTTTACTTTCAGGTTTCTCTATTTGGGGCAATAGTTTTTATAAAACTAAACCCAAAATTGTGGCCTGTTTGAAGCTGGATAATATAGGAGGAGCGTCTTTATCTTTTCTAAGAGACAGTGTTTTAGCAAAATAACCTTTTCCTTGGGAGCATGCGTGTCTTGCCTCAGTTTAAAAGCACAGTGGTGGTGTGTTTTGAGAACGATTAATTTTCCCATTTGTAAGGTATGGAAGGGATGCTTCCTCTGTGGCAAAGGAAACCCACCCTTGAGCAGTCTCCTGCTTAACTTGCGCTGGCCTGGACTGATTTGCTTGCATCCTACTCTTTTCCTCCTCTCTCTCTCTCTCTCTCTCTCTCTCTCTCTCTCTCTCTCTCTCTCTCTCTCTCTCTCTCTTCTCTTCTGTGTTATTGAAAAAGCAGCTTTGGTGTATTTAGTGGTGACTTCTGATCTCCTGAAGGTACTGTGCCTGGGGCACAAGAGCCTTACTTGTTAATGTCAGGAGATTGAAGAGTTTTGGCTCTGCCATGTAACACCCTGGGTAGACTTAACCTTGAGAAGGTCTTACCATCAAGCTCAAAAGTGTTTTACTAAAATCAAACTTGTGAACACAGAGCTTATGTGTCTTAAACACCCACACATAGAGTTATAAATCTAAAAGCCTTCACTAGAAGTCATCAAGAAATGGTGATTGAACCAGAGTTTATATGTGCTCTTATGTGAGTCAAGTGAGTTAACTAGACCTTGTTTTAGTGGAGATGTTTTAGTTGTACTGTAATAATAGTGGTTACCTTACATTAAGGAATCAGTTTCTTAACCCAAATGAGTGATTGTTGTTCCCTGTGTCTCAAAATAGGAGTTTATACCTTACATGGCCAGCAAATACAACTTCCAGTATGAGCTTGTTCAGTACAAGTGGCCGAGGTGGCTTCATCAGCAGACAGAGAAACAGCGGATCATCTGGGGCTACAAGATCCTCTTCCTGGACGTGCTTTTCCCGCTGGTGGTTGACAAGTTCCTGTTTGTGGACGCTGATCAGGTGAGCTCTGAGCACCGGGCGACAATTAGCTCAGGTTTCCTTTTCCTTTTTAAACAGTTTCCAGATATGAAAAAGTACCTGTTTATTTTGCATTAGTATTTCAGGAATATGAAGAGATATCACCCGAATGGTATCACTTTTTAAATTTAAGTTCCATCAGCTCATGTCCCTTTAAACTTTTTTCCTTCATGTATGTGTACAATAAAATGTGATCATGTGATCATATATACCCTCTATAAATAACTCGCTGTGTCCTGTTGGTGCAGCCTATAGGTGCTTGGGTGTAGTGTGGGACTCCTATCAGTAGCCATATCCTAAAAAAGAATGAGTCTCCCTTCCCATCATCTGCCCAGTGCCAGTTATGCCTCAGCGAGGGGTGGAGCCCGCATGTTATGTATCCCATCCATCTGCATTTCCACTGGCTTGCTCTTTGTGGGTCTTACGCAGGAGGCCACAGCTGCTGTGGGTTTGAGCATGGCAACCATGCTCTCTCCAGAAGCATTTCACAGCTCGTACCCTTTGCATCTCTTAGTGGTCACTGAGCCTTGAGAGGGAGGTGGGGACGTTGATAGAGAGGCTCTGTTCAGCGTTGAGCAGTCAGCCCCTTATTCTCATCATTTGACCGGTTATGTGTTTCTCTGCTGCCCGATGCACAAAGGAGCTGCTCTGACAGGCAGGTGTGGCACTGGCTGTGGGTCTCTGCATGGATCACTATTTAGGAGGGTCTGCTCCTGGGCCTGTGACTTCTCCAGCTTTGAATAATTTCAGTTTGGTCCTTCTTCAGCATTCCCCCCCCCCCCTCCAGTCTTTCCCTCTCCCAATTTGGTTTCATGTCTTGGGATTTCCTTATTTCATTCAGCTCTTTTTGTCTTGTTCTCAGAATATATTTATATATTTAAGTTGTTTGGACATAATTATTCTTTTAAACTCTTTGGCTGTAAATTCTTCCAAGCCATTTTCATTAGAAGCCATAGCAATGCAATTAGTAATCTTTGAAGGAGACTTGTTATCTTGATTTTGTTTTTGTTTCTGCCCTGGGACTTGACTTGCACATCTGGAGTTAGTTTACTGGTTTGAGTTTTTCTTTCTTTTCTATTTTGTTATTTTTAAATTCAGATCACCTTTTGTTTTCTTTAGTGGTGGTGTTTGCAGTTTTCAGGAGAGTACTAACTCATGGTTAGGGGTGGGATTTCCATCTTGGGTTCTCCTCTGGGGGTCAAGTATTGTCGTATGTGAGTGTGGACATCCTGCTTGGTTCTGCAGCTTTCTCTGAGAGTTGTGAAACTTCTCAGAGTAAATCTGGTTCCTGCTGTGGGTTCACAGCTTCCACTGAAGCCACTGCAAGATGTGGGCCTTCTGACAGACAAGCTTGTGGTTCTAATCAGGACTCCGTCCAGGCCCCACCCTGGAACTACAGCTTCTTGTGCGGCTGCCTACTCACCAATACGCCTCACCCAGGTTCAGGATTGGCCCTGAGTCCTTAGCTTCGCAGCCCTTCTCATCTTCAAATTGTCTTAAATACAGCTGTTCTATTGTATGGTCAGTCCTGTATCTTACTTAACTCATTTAGCATAAATGCCAAGAATTTTAAAAATAAGAGTTTGATATTACTTGGTTATTATGTCCTGTTACCTGCTCAAATATAGAAACTTTATTATTTGTTCATTCATTGATTTTGAAACAGAGCCTTTCTCTGTTGTCCAAATTGTTCTTCTGTCTCTGCCTCTCAAATGCTAGGACTCCCGGCCTGTGCTACCACATCTGGCTAAGGGGGTGTTATTGGCATGGGTGATATGTGAGGTCCAGGGAAAATGCTTGGTTCTTATAACAAGGGATAGTGCAGATACTTGCCTGGCATGCCTTCTCCACGGTGATGGTGATCTCTTAACAATGTCAGCTGCCTTCTCCACGGTGATGGTGATCTCTTAACAATGTCAGCTGCCTTCCCCTCACTGTCCTTCTGCTAACCCTTCTCTCCTCGGACTCAAAGCAGGGCTCGTGCTGACCACGCCACAGCCTGAAACTAAGACGGTCTTGAAATTCTCCATGTTAAATAAATGGGTTCCTTACTTTTGAAACTCAGCCTGACTGGGTTTTTCAGAGCGTAGGGCCCTCACTGCCATTTGAAGCACCGTGTGATCGCCTCCGTGCCTCTGGCCTGGTAAGGCCCTCACACCAGAGCGGCCCTGTCAGCTCTGCTCCCAGCGCTCAGGTGCTTCTCTAGCCACACGCCTCACAAGCCTGCAAGCCACTCGTCAGAGTGTGCTCACTGCCAGTTCCCTCGGGGGGGGGGGGGGCAGCGGGAGAGGATGATGCCTGATGTGACTGCTTGTCCCCATGACAACAGACAGGCCAAGTGTAGAGAATGGAAGCTTGCATAAGGCCGGGCTACAAACTTGAAAAGCCTGCCCTGGAGACTCTCACTAGGCAGACCCAACAAGGGCTTCCACAGCCTTCAAAACAGCAGGGCCCTGCAGCTGGGGACCGGCCACTCAAAACAGGAGTCTGTGGGATCATTTCCGATTAAATAGTAACAGCCCAGGCCCCATTCTCGAGCCTGGGCTGTTGTCATCCAGTTGCCCTTCCTACTGCCTGGTGAGACATAGTCTACTTTAAGGGATGCCTTAGAGTCGTAGCTGTGTGTTGGTTAACAAGTATTTTGACTTTCTTAACTGCAGATTGTGCGGACAGATCTGAAAGAGTTAAGGGATTTCAATTTGGATGGTGCCCCTTACGGTTACACACCTTTCTGCGATAGCAGAAGAGAAATGGATGGCTACCGGTTCTGGAAGTCAGGGTACTGGGCCAGTCACTTGGCTGGACGCAAATACCATATCAGGTACTGCATGAAGGGCCACTCAGCAGTGCTGTCTGGGCTTTCTTTTCTTAAGGTTGTGAATCGAACCAGTGAATAGATATTATATTAGTATGGCCTAAAGAGAAAAATTCTTCAATCTGCCTTTTTTACCCAGCCCCCCCCTCAACAGATAACCCCTCTTATTCATATTCTATCCTTCCAGAGTCTAATTTTCTCAGAAACAGCTATGAATGCATATCTTTTTAAAATACAAAACATACTCTCCACCTTGCACTAAGTTGTAGCTTGAGCTTTTGTAAAGTGTCATGTTATGGCTCTTGTACCTATGTATAAAGAGGCTTTATTTCTTTTATTTCTTTGCTTAGCTGCACATACGACAGTGTGTTGTTTCCAGTTTCCTATTGCAGTATGTCCTGGTGCATAATCTATGGGATACTTTTTTTTTTTTTTGCCAATTTCAACCACGTTTGTAACCTCTTGGGTCAGTGTATGGGCTAGACATGGTGGCACTCACCTTTAGTCCCAGCACTTGGGAGGCAAAAAAAAAGGCAGATCTTTGTGAGTTTGAGGCCAGCCTGGACTACATTGTGAGTTCCTGGACAGCCAGGAACTACAAAGCGAGACCCTGTCTCAAAAAAAAAACAAACAAAAAAAAAAAAAAAAAAAAAAAAAAAAACAACCCACCACTGAAGATTTGAAGGCTAGGGCACATACAAGAAATAATAAGGGCTGGAGCGATGGCTTAGAGACTAAGAGCACCGGCTGCTCTTCAGTGCACCTAGGTTCAATTCCCAGCACCCACGTGAGGCATGACGCTTCTATAACTCAAGTTCCAAGGCATCTGAGGCCTTTTGGCCTGTGTAGGCACTGTATGCATGTGATACATAGACAAAGATGCAGATGAAACACCCCTACATATAAAAAATAAATTTTATAAGACAAGATTTGCTTCTTTCTGTGTATGAGTGTTTTGCCTGCCTGAAGGCCGGAAGATGTCAGATCCCCTGGAACTGGAGTTATAGGCATTTGTGAGCCACTATGTGAGTGGTGGGAACCAAACCCTGGTCTTCTGGAATAGTCGCTAGCGTTTTCACTCTAATTCCAGTCTCCAGCTCCCTAAATAAAACCTTTTTAAAAAAAGAACACATGCAGAGATGAATGATGAAGTACCTGATTTCAGTTTTATACTTTGTTTCCTGGCCTGAAAGATTGTAACCCTGCCCTAACCCCCAATTAAGAGATCATCAGGATAGCTCTGGCAAAGGGTGTCAATGATTTTTATTACTAAATCTTCTGAGTTAGCTAGAAATCTTGCTTCATTAATTAATGTCCTTGTAAGACAACAAAATAAAAAACTGGTCAGAGTGAGCTGTTGTAGCAGCGCGTGGTCTGCAGGATGTGATCACCTCTGAAGGACGCACACTCCTCTGCTGCCGTCCTCCGGCTCACCTTAGCGCGGCTTGCAGCGTCTGGCTCGTGACCTATGCCGTCATTCAGTTTGGTGTGTTGTTGGCACAAACCTGTGGCTTGGCCATTAACAAGTGTCTCTTGTCACAGTGCACTGTATGTCGTGGATCTGAAGAAATTTAGGAAAATAGCTGCTGGTGACAGGCTGAGGGGACAGTACCAAGGTCTGAGTCAAGATCCCAACAGTCTTTCAAATCTGGATCAGGTAAGTGACAGTAAGCGACTCTGAACAGTGTCATACACAGTCATACCAGTGTGTGTCAGAAAAGGAACTAGTATTTGTGTCTCATAGTCTCCCAGAGCTGAACATTTTCTTCATGGAAAATGTGTACATGTGTGCATACATGCGTGAGTGTGTGTATGTGACTTATATCTGATCTTAAGAAGACCGAGACTGTCAAAAAGCTCAGAATTTACATAATATATGGTATTAAACCTTCCTAACCCTGACTCTTCTCCCCATGTCAGAAACTTCCAGGAAGGTTTGTTAAATAACATTTCCAAATAGCAAGCATTTTCAGAAGTAATATTTATTTTTATGTGTATGGGTGTGTCTGTACACTATGTGTGCAGTGTGCCCAGGGTCCAAAAGAGGGAGTCTCATCCCCTGCTGTGCCTGTGGAAGAGCAGCCAGTGTTTTTACCTTCTGAGCCTTCTCTCCAGCTCTAAAATTGTAGTTTTAGGTAATTTTATGTATCTACTGTCAATCTTTTTGTTGTTGTTTGTTTTGAGACTAGGTATCACTTGACTTGTAGGCCAGGCTGGTCTTGATCCACCTGCCTTTCTTAAAATTTTAGTTGTTTATTGTGATATGGTATAACTCCTTTAATCCCAGCACTCTGGAGTCAGAGGTAGGTGGATCTCTGAGTTCAAGACCAGCCTGGTCTACAAAGAGAGTTCCAGGATAGGCTTCAAAGCTGCAGAGAAACCCTGTCTTGAAAAACCAAACTAACCAAATAAAAAACTCACTAAACTGGAAGTTATAGTATATATGCAAAGGGCCTGTAGGGTGCATGCGTCTGTGTGTGTGTGTGTGTGTGTCTGTCTGTCTGTGTGCGTGCGTGCGTGCGTGCGTGCGTGTGTGTGTGTGTGTGCGTGTGTGTAGGTGCTTGCGGAAGCCAGGAAAGGGCATCAGATTCTCTGGAGATGGAGTTACAGGTGGCTGTGAGCTGCCCTCCTTGGGTGCTGGGAACTGAACCCTGGTCCTCTGAAAGAACAGTGGACTTGAACGCTGAGCCATCTCTCCAGTCCTCTGGTTGAATTTTAAGCTAACATTTTTTGGTTGCTTCTTTAGATTTCTTTCTGAGTTTCAGATCCTTGTGTTTTATTTTCTTTACCAAACAGGATTTGCCTAATAACATGATCCATCAGGTGCCAATCAAGTCCCTCCCTCAAGAGTGGCTTTGGTGTGAAACGTGGTGTGATGATGCTTCCAAGAAGAGGGCAAAGACCATCGACTTGGTGAGCTGCCCTCCCCGCCCTGTGACCTGTGACAATGCCTGTGTAGTTGCCGGTGCTGGTCTGGGTTGGCTTTCTCTAAGTTGTGGGTGGAGCTGCAAAGCGTGTCCTGGTCATTTCAGCAGGGTTCTCTTCTTCGCTTTCCACAAGAAGCTAAATCCCCACGCTGCTAGCAGGGCTGTCTCTACTGTGTCACTACTTGTCTGTCGTGTGTGTGTGTGTGTGTGCGTGTGTGTGTGTGTGTGTGTGTGCGTGTGCGCGCACGCGCGTGTGTCCCCGTGCCCTGAAGAGTTTCCATTCAGCCTGTAACCTGTGCTGCCTTTAGTTTGAAAGTATCTTTCTGTGTAACGTGGCCCTTCTTTGAAGTCCTGATCTTCCCTCAGTCCCCTCCATGCCCGCCGGAAACCCCTGTGAACTATGCACGGTATGCCGTTTCTTTAGCTCCCCTGAGGTGTGTGTGTTGTGTTTCCAGTGTAATAATCCCATGACTAAAGAGCCCAAACTGGAAGCTGCTGTGCGAATCGTCCCCGAGTGGCAAGACTATGATCAGGAGATTAAGCAGCTGCAGATCCTCTTCCAACAGGAGAAGGAGAGGGGGGCCCAGCAGGAAGAGAGGGCGCAGGAAGGTAAGTGTGCGCCTGGCTTTGGATAAGTAATTCTTCATTTTTGGTGTGTGTATGTGCACGCGCGCGTTTGTGCGCGTGCGTTGGAACATGCTACGTGTTTGTGCGTGCCACCACATGCCTGTAGCGTGCCACCACATGCCTGTAGCAGTCTCCTACCGTGTGGGCTTTGGTGCTTAGACACCTTCCCCACTGAGCCACTCCCTGAGCACGGAGGTGCTTTCCCTGCATTACTGCATTACTGTATTACTGCTTCAGGTACGTTACAGTACAGAGAAACCTGCCTTTGTTGGGAGAGCCCTTACAAGAGCCTTCATTTTTGTTAGTGTGTGTGTGTTGTTTTCATTAAATCTTCTAAGGTACTAAAGAATGAATACATTTAGATCAAAACAAAATATATACTCATTTGAAAGAAAATAATGTAAAACAGGAATATTGGAGGATGGAGTGATTGTATTTAAACTGAAGATAAAAAAAGATATCAAACTTTTTTTTTTTTACATAAAATTCCAACTTTCATTCCATATCATTTTACAACTTTATAATACGTTCATTTATTTAAAGGGGGCACACATCACTGCATGGCAGCATATACCTTTAATCTCAGCATGCTAGAGACAGACAGGTGGATCTCTGTGCGTTTGAGATCAGCCTGATTATGTAGTGAGTCCAGGCCAGTCAAGGAAACATAGTGAGATCTTGTCTCAAAACAAGAACAAAGTTAAAAAACCAAACCCCATGCAATGTTGTTTTAATTGGATAGCAGCAAGCTGAAACAGCATATGTCTGTGATAAGACCTTTTTCTGAAGGCTAGACACAGAACACTAACCTAGCATGTGCAAGACCCTGCCTGGGTCCATCCCCAGTGCCTCCAAGGCTGATGTGGATCTCTGTACAAAATACTATCATACGGTTTGCAGTCAAATTGGGGTTTTGTCTTTGAAACCACTAAAACTTACAAGTAAGTATTTAATACCTTTACCCATGCATACAAGTCTTAGCAGTTTACCCAAAGCTAAGAAGCGAGAGGGTCAAGAGTTAAACTCATTTTTCAGCTACGTAGTGAGTTTGAAACCAGCCTATGTAAGCAATGAGTAAGTTGGGCTTTGGGTTTAATATCTTTCCTACTTTAAACTTATCCTAAGAAGCAAATGCAGAGCTTAGGTCTTGAGTGACTTCATAGTCCATTCTAGAGACCATTCTGGAGCCTGCCAGGGTAGTAAGAATCGTAGCTAGAAGGCCACACAGTCACATGGCCACCATAAAAACAGCTTGGATCTGGAATGGGAGTGATGGTTACAAGCACTGTTGGTAATTCCAATTCCAGGGGACCTGCTGCCCCCTTCTGAAGCCCTTGTGGGCTCAGCATGCATGTGGTATACAGATGTACATTCAGACAAAATACCAGTACACATAAAAGATGAAAACAAATACCTTTTTTAAAAAAAGAGATTCATTATGAAATGTATGTATGGATAAATGGACAGAGAATATGAACAAAACATTCAAAAGACGAGCCATATAGGGGTAAGGAGACAGAAATTAAGTCAGAGTCACCATTAATATCTGCTCTTCCAAAAAATATTGATAAACTGACAGTTCTGTGCATAGAGGAGACAGTGGTGAGCCTGGCGAGTGAGTCTGGCTGATGAAGTGTGGCTCTAGAAAGCCCTTGCTTAAAAACAGTGCCTGCCTGTTATCATCGGGAGCCTCTGAATCCTGTACCACTGGGCTCAGCGGGCAAGGTGCTTGCTGCACAACCTAATGATGACCTGGGTCTGGTCCCCAGAACCCAGGTAAAAATGAAGGAGAGAACCGACTCACACATGTGCAGCATGGCATGTGCACACAACAATCCATAAAAACGTATTGTGAAAGAAAATGCTCCAGTCCTCAGCAGTTCCTCTGTTGAGAATGTATCTTAAATAATTCAAGGGAAAACAACACACACAAAGAGACTTTTCTGTTACATGTCAGTCAGTGACAGTAAAACAGTTTAAGGGTCGGAGTGCAGAAGATGTCTGGAGAGCGTGTTGGCTGAGAGCCAGCGCTGCCTTGGGAAAGCAATGTAGCCACAGTTCCAGTCAGCGGCTCCAGCCAGTGGCTCTTAAGACCGAGAGTGGCTCCTTTCTCTTGTGTTTGCTTCCAAACTTCATACAAAACCACCCAGCCCCGTGCTCTTCTAACTCCCGTGAGGGCTACAGGTGGGTGTGCTGTGGAGAGCTCACACTGCGTTTATGACTTGTCTCATGCCCTCTTGCCCTTTTCTGTAGGAGCCCATGAAGAATTATGATCTTTGAAGGAAGATGGGAAGTCCCACCATCTGACAGTTTTGTACTAAAAGCTAGTTTTTTCTGATCTGTCGATACAACTGCTGCTGAACTGATTAGGCCGGTGTACCACACCTATTGATTTAGACTACAGCACCCTCGTGGGTGCTGGGTCTTTGGGGCTAAGGCTCTGTTGGATTTGTACCTCAGAGGAAGACAAGTGGCTGATCTTCTGGAACTCTCTTCACACCAGAGGGAGAAATGGTGACGGCTGCTGAAAGAAACTGAGTCCTTTGGTGCCCACTTCAAGCTGGCCAGAGAAGCCACCACGTCCTTCCTTACCTCAGTTTACCGGCAGCCCTCGCTGCACTGCAGATGCCCACCCTGCACAGGTCAGGCCGGCAGATGCTTCATCCAAGGTCCATGCCTCAAGGTCTATCCCAACATGCTTGTCAACATCTCCTGTCCCACGCTCTCTTCCCAGGCTTTAGGCTCATTGTTTAATTGAGCCCAACCGATAATCATGTATCTTCAGGGTTGGTGCAGTTGCTAAGAAATCAATCTTCAGGAGAACTGGGGGTGGCTCGGATGGGGGTGGGGGGATGACAGGCAGCGGAGAGTTTTGTGGTGTTCAAAGGTAGAAGACAAAAAAATTGGCCCTTCTCTTTCAGTCTGTTGTGGCTGAATTTAAAGGAAGCTTTATTCTATTCACAATGAACTTTCTAGGTGATTGTTTTGTAAACAATTTTTATATTTATGAAAATGTTTGCCTTTTCTTCCTACTTTCTAAAAAACTATTGGTACACGTTTCCTGGCTGAGCACAGGTTTACTGAGTCCCTCCGTGGTCCATCTCAGGGTACTCAGCCTCCATTTGGATGGACACCATACTGTCTGCCCTGTCCCTTGGAGTTTTCCCCTTTTGTTTTGGCTCTGTGGGTTGCCTTTGGCTTTTAAAACATGCCCAGGGCCCTGTCCAGTTTTAAGGGAACAGCTGCTGTGTGACACAGCTGTCACTGCTTTATGTGTGGCCACAGCCACAGCCACGGCCCAGCCTCACCTGGTCAGGAGCAGCCGGGGCTGGGGAACCTGGGACTTGGTGTTAGCCTGGCTGCACACGTGTGTGGTGTCATCTCTGCCCGGAAATCAGGGGTCGGCAGCAGAGAGTTAGCGCATTGCTGGCCACTGGCCTGCCTTCCAGCTCCCGGGGGCTGTTCTTTCCTGTTTAACCTGCCTTTTAAAAATGAGAAGGGAGCTGGGGTGTGCCTCGGTGGCAGACAAAGTGCTCGGCCAGCGAGCTCAAGGCTCTGTGTTCCGTCCCAGCCCTAAACCCCTAACCCACCCCAAATAAAAGGAAGAGAGAGACTGTGAAAAGTGAGCTCACATGGATAAGTCCTTGCACATCTAAGCTAGGCCATACATGTGTTTTGAAGGACGAATAATCTATAGTAGCCATAGTTGGGTTTTGAATGGGCAGTTATTAAGTAATAAATAGTGAGAGACAGCAAAATATCATTGATTGGGAACTCACACAACCAGCAGAAACCCCTTAACTCAGCCGCCTGCTGGAGTTGCCCAGTGAGCGTCCTGGGCAGAGAGAGCAGAGTGTTTCCTCAGGTAAGGTTTCCCAGTAAAGGAACTATAGCAAACCTAAAACACCATCGTCGATTCGGTGCTCACAACATCCTGTAGAAGCCAGCCGGGGCAGCTGGGGAGCCCTTTCTCCGGGGGAGCTTGCAGCCCTTACCCACTGCGGGCACTTTGGTAGCAGGGCTAGGCAGTGGCTGACTCCTCTGGCCTTGGGAAGGACCTGGGAATGAGTGACTTCCCAGCTGTGTCCAAGGACCAGACGAAGGTCCTTGGAAGACACTTTGAGAATACACATGTTCCATAGCCAGTTTCTTAGCTAGCACGTGACATCAATACACTGAAGTTTTGAAATAAAGGTTTCACCACACACATATCAAGTAATTGATTTCCCCCCTCACTTTCAAATCCAGAAGTTAACTTGGAGCCAGCCTTTGCTCAGGCCGTGTCCACATTGTATTAAGCTTTCAGGGAGCCACTGCTGCTGCCCTCAGCGGCAGCCATGAAACACGGAGCCTGCGGTGAGCCAGAATAGTCAGGTCACGGGTGTGCTTTTAGATGTTGGCCCCAGTGACCAGTTGCCGCCTTTTTACCAAGTCATCACGCATCCTCTGTGGAAAGGAAGGTGCGGAGAATGTCCTTCAGCCCCTCGGGTGTCCCCACCCTGACATAAGTTATATTAATAGTTGATGCTGGGTAGGCCAGACCCAGCTGGCTTGTAAAGTCATCCAGCCCCTTCCTTGCTTCCTGTGGGTTAACCATCTCTACAGTTAGGCCAATGGCCCAGAAGTGATGCTGCCCAGGAAGGGCGCCCCTGCTGGTTTCATCTGATATCTCCACTGTGAAAAAGCATACTGTGACTGAATGCAGAGGTAAAATATTCCCCAAGAAGCAGGAAATAGCTGATTACATGGATGGTCGAAGCTTCTGGAAAGCTTGTTGTTGGCATGCATCTATATCAGAATTACATGGCCAGGGTGAGTCGGGCTCTGCTCTGTGGAAGGTGACACTTGATGGGCATGTAGGGCTGTCAGGGTGCAGCTCTCGAGCATCCTGGATTTAGTGGAAAGCTGACTGGGTTTAGTGGGGTGGTGTTTCCATCAGATAGCTGGCATTGTCAGTCTGGCAGAGGCTACATTTCTGATTGAGCGTGTTTGTCTGCAGGTGCATGTGCATTGTGCTGGGCCTGCCTGGTCAGAGGCACGCTCCACGGCGGAGCGGTTTCCTGTCCTCTGCTTGTTGAGGTGATGGCCTGATGTATGTTTTCTGCTCTTAGGCTGGGTCCCTGAGTGATGCACCAGGAGCCCAGGGATAGAGAAGGAAGAAAAGAACAGGAAGGAAACTTGACCGGCATGATTTAGAACTGGCCAGACAGCTCTCCCATGGTCAGGAGTACGGAGTGACCCTCCTGTCCCTCTCTCTCCCATGCTAAGTCTTTTTCTAAAATTGCTCTTCTTAGACCTGCCTCACTGAAAGACCTCATTTGCCCGAGGAGTTGAGAGGGGACCCCTGGTCCACTTTGCTTGACAGATTTCATGGGAAGCTGTCTGGTGGGCAGTGTCCCGGTGATGTGGACTCTGATATATGCTCAATCGGTTCCTCACTGTGACTTCCGGGGGTGCCATCTTTTTACTGAGTTGTCACGTACTTGGCTTCCTGGGGATATGTGCGGTGACCAGAGTCGATCGAACGGCTCATCGTGTTTCCTGTTAGTAAGGTAGCATTTTTTTGTTGAAATTCATGAGCTCCTGTCTTCTCTGCCTTAAGGTAATGAGGAAAGTCTTAATGAGGACTTCTCACATGCCGGATCAAGCTCAAGCACATTAAACACTGTCGCTCAGGAAGTTACTGAAATTTCCAAGTGTCTGGAAGGTTCTCATTTCTCATTCATTGCTGGTGTTTTGTCTTTCTGAAATAGCAGAAGGAGCCCTTCTGTGTTCCATAGCAGTGCTGAGTCCATGGACAGGGCCGGCTCCTTCTCATGTGTCATTGAAGGCAGCAGGTGATAGAGTAAGCGCCAGACATCAGCGTGCTACGGGAAGTCCATGAAGTTGTGGACGGAAAGCAGGAGGCCGCTCCTGAGTTCCTGGGTCCTGTGACTCATGAGTGGGACTTGGAGCCATACTCTCTTCCTGCCTGTGCTTTCTACGCTGCCTTACGTGTCCCCATTGAGCTCAACAGAGAAATGGGCACCATTCCCTCAGCCAGAAGCAAACTACACTAACCTAAGGTTGGCAGTTTGAAATAAAAAACTAACAAGCACTCTGCTTTCCAACCAAAAAAAAAGGAAAATGGAGACAAAGCTTGGGATTTTTAAAGAAACCGTTTGTCCTACTTTCCCTTCAAACCAACACCTCACTTGGTGCGGGGTTCATGTCTGTGAATGTCTTAGTCCAAAGGAATGCTGGTCTTTTCATGAGCATAAGCTCTGCTCAATACAATAAACTCCCTCCTCTCTTCTTTACAGTTGCCTCAGTCATGAGACTGTGTGTGTCTGTCTGTCTGTGTGAGTGTGTGTGTGTGTATGTGTGTGCGTGTGAGTGAGTGTGTGTGTGTAAGACGTTCCTTAGTTCACATGTGGATAACTTCAGCTGTTGGTCCTCACCTTCCACTTTGAGGTTGGATCCCCACTCACCACTGCAAATGCCAGGCTGATTAGGCTGCACACTGCTGAGATTCTCCTGTCTCCACCCCCATTTCCCCGTAAGTTCTGGGGTAACAGAGGGCTGCCCTTTGACACCTCCCTTTTTGTAATGTGGCTTTTAGAGATCTGAACTTAGATTATCTTGTGCACTTTAGCTACTGGAACGTCCCCCCTATCCGTCATCTAATGACTTTTTTTTTTTAATGCAACTCAAAAGAGCAGCGGCTTGAGAACATTTTTAACTTATGTGTATGTGTGTGGTCGTGTGCCTATATGAGCTAATGTGTGCGTTGTGTGTGCAGGTACCACCAGAGGGTGTCAGATCCCTGGTGCTGGAGTTACAAGCAGCTGTAAGCCACTGATCTGTGTGCTGCAGCCTCTGCAAGAGGCAGGGTTTTATCACTGAGCCATCTCTCCAGCCCACACTGGAATATGATTTTTAAATAAATTTTTTTAATTTAAAAAGTCAAACATTTGGGCTGGAGAGATGGCTCAGAGGTTAAGAGCATGGCTGCTCTTCCAGAGGTCCTGAGTTCAGTTCCCCGCAACCACATGGTGGCTCACAACCATCTGTAGTGAGATAGTGAGATCTGGCGCCCTCTTCTGGCCAGCAGGCATAAATGCAGACAACATTGTATACATAATAAATAAATATATATATATAAAATCAAACATTTAACACAATGCAATACAAAGATGGATTGGTTTGCTGCATGCTGGGTAGGAAACTGAAGTGCGTTATTTTCTGTAATCAAGCCATTAGGTTTCCCGGGCAGCGTTCACTGGCTCTGTTCACTGTGACCGGTGCACAGAACATATTGTGTATAGAAGATTGTAGTGAGCACCTTTCAGGAGTTGCTTTTCCTCCCAGGAATTGAACTCAGGTCAGTAGACCTGGCGACAGTCCTGAAAAAGTTTTTCTTTTTAATGCCTCCTTGATCCAGACGTGAGGTTTGTCCTCTGGAGTGGCCTGTTAGGGTGAAGTCACCTCTCAGCCACCTCTCTCTTTGGGCTCACACTCTGGACCACCGATCAGTTCACCCTAGAGCAGTGGTTCTCAGCCTGTGGGCCGCAAACCCTTTTTACAGGGGTTGTAGGTCATATATTTACAATGATTCATAACAGTGGCTACACAACAGTTACGAAGCAGCAACGAAAATAACTATGGTTGGGGGTCACCACACGATGAACTGTAGTAAGCGGTCACACAGCATAGGGAGGAAGAGAACCGCTGGCCTAACGCCTTGTCTGGACACGGGCAACGATGTCCCGTGCTTGCGTCCCGTACCTCAATTCCTCCTCCCCGTGAGCCTCGGTGGAGGAGTCGCCCCGCCCGGTTTACCCTCTTCCCCTGCTGCCTCGTCAGCTGGAATACAAAACAGACGTTCTCTGTGACCCCAGCCCCCACCCCACACTAGCCTCAGACTCTGCGTAGCCTGGATGGTCGTGAACTCTTGACTCTTCTTGCCTTTACCTCCCAAGTGCTGGAACCCAGGACTTCACACGTGCCAGCCAAGCATCCACCGGGACATACCCCCAGTACCCACACCCTTGACGTGTGTCTTTCCTAACCGCCCATCCGTCACCACTCCCAATTTTCCTTTTTGTGCGTTCCCCCCACCACCACCACTGTGCTGGGGATCGAACCCAGAACCACTCTACTATACTCCCAGCACCCTGTCTTCTTAGACTCAAAGGACTCAGTTGTGATCATGGCGAAGCTTGAGGCGGCTGCTTGCGTTACATGTGCAGTCAGGAAACTGAGAAATGAATGCCAGTGTTCAGCTCACTCCTCATTATCCAGCCTAGGATCTCAGAGCATCCCATGTGCTACCCACATATAGAGTGGGACTTCCTGCCTCAATAAACCCAGCGTAGAAGCGTCCTCACAGACATGTCCAGAGGTGCATCCTACCAGTGTATAAAGTGTCACACAGGCCATAGCCGAATGCTGGGAACCAAAGGTAAAATTGACCCCCCAGGTTGCATGGGTGCCAAACACCTTTGATCACAGTGCTCAGGAGACAGAGGCAGGCGGAGTTCTGAGTTCAAGGCCAGAACAAGTTCCAAGACATCCAGGACTAGACGGAGAAACCCTGTTTCAGAGCCAGGAACGCTAGACCCTAGAAGGGAATGCACAAACGATAACTGACTTTAGGGTTAGGGAGAGCTGGATGGTGTGGTCACAGCGCTACAGGGAGAAAACCCCGATAAGCCTGGCAGGCAGAAGTCTCCAAACCTGGAGGGACATAGAGGACTCTCGATACAGCATCTGAGGTTGACCTAACTACCGCACACACCCGACCTGCAGACTGAGCCGGAAGATCTTTCTTCCTGTCATGGCTGTCTTGACGGTCAGCTTGATTGCATCTGGACTCAACTAAGAGACACAGCTCTGGGTAGGTCTGTGAAGGCGTTCCCAGGAACTGGGGGAAGAAGACCATCCCCCAACCCCCATCCCCCATGGCTTAGATGTGAAGGGGTGGGAGGGAAAGCATGGCTGCTCGCTGGTCTGCCTCCTTGGTCAAGGGTACACGTGTCCCACGGGTATTGTATTCCTGGCGGGGCTGCCACTCTCCAGTGACGTCGGCACCCAGCCTGATGGCCCGGATGCTCTAGGAATCCTCTAGGCCTTCAGAGGCCTGTGCCTCTTAGACTCAGCAGCAAGTGGGCTACTGGGTTCTTAGCCTCTCCAGCATGCACACTGTCTGATGTCAACTGCCCAGACATTCTAAGTAATCCCCTCCATCACACACACACACACACACACACACACACACACACAAATCTAATTTCCCCAGGGGCTCAGCAGTTATAGAGTGGGTAATGCCCTTGCAGAGGACCTAAATCTGATTGCCATCACCCACATCAATACATAACCACCTGTAACCTGTCTTCAAGAGATCAGTGTCCTCTTCTGGACCTGAGGGGACCTGCACCCACATGCACATAATTTTAAATTTGAAAAAAAAATCCAAACATAATAGGAAGAGCAAGAGAACAAGAACAGAGGGAAAGAGTAGAAAAATGGCTAAATAGTAACCGTTAAAATGAAAAAGGTAAAATTGTGTTATGTGGGGGGCTGGAGAGATGGCCCAGTGGTTAAGAGCACTGGCTGCTCTTCCAGAGGCCCTGAGTTCAGTTCCCAGCATCCACATGGTGGCTCACAACCACCTATAATGGGATCTGGCGCCCTCTTCTGGCCTGCAGGAAGAAGACTATACATAGTCATTTTTTTAAAAAAATATTTTATTGCATTATGGTTTACTGGTCTTAAACACTAATTAGAAACATCATTTTCAGACTGGATTCTGAGAGCCAGTTTGCTAAAGATGCATATTAGGCCAGTGAGGTGGCTCGGTGTTTAAAGATACTGTCACCAAACCTGATTTGATTCTTCTACATTGTAGAAGGGCCTGGCAGCCAGCAAGCCCAAAGTTTGTCTTCTGACTTCCACAGGAGCCCACACACGCACATGCACACACAGATACACATGTATACTCAAACATATAGGAAACTTTAATTTTAAAAGAAGAACATTGATGGAAATAAGTTTAAACCAAAGAGGGCAGCCTGGGAAGATTCTGTCCCGTGAATAAGGAAGTGGATGTGTGGCTTTGTTAGCAGAGTGAACTCTGTTTCAAGACTGAGCAACAAAGCAGGTGTAGTTTACGATGATAAAAGAAAATTTGTCAAGGAATCATGAGGAATCGGATGCTGCTTAGGAATGAGGATGTGTTCTGAAAGATGCCTGGGTTCGTAGTTCAGTCTGTAGGGTACTCACCTCGTATGCATGAGACCCTGGACTTGGTGATGGCAGACATCTACAATCCTAATACTCTGGGTGTAGAGGCAGGGCGATCAGAAGTTTAGGGTCAGCCTTGCTAGACAGTGAGTTCAAGGCCAGATGCTGTCTCAAAAAAAAAAAAAAAAAAAAAAGTTTTTAGGTGATTTTATAATTGGACAAAAATCAGTGTACTTTACACCACAGACAGTATGATCTCACCGGGCCGTTACATGGCACTTGTGACATGACTTAAAAACATGTGGAGGAGGAAGCTGGAGAGATGACTCGACCATTGAGAACACTGGCTGCTCTTCCCAAGGATCTCAGTTCGACTCCCAGCACCCACACGGTGGCTCGGAAACTGCTATTCCTCTAGTTCCAGAGAATCTGATGCCTTCTTCTGACCTCTGCTGGAACCAGGTATACATGTGGCACACAGGCATGCATGTAGGCAACACACACACACACACACACACACACACACACACACACGCACGCACGCACGCACGCACGCACACACACACACCACACACGCACGCACACACACCGCACGCACGCACACACACACACACCACACACACACACACACACACACACACACACACACACACACACACACACACACACACACAAATACGTGGAGGAGTGATGATCTGCGATAAATAAGCAGAAGAAAGCCCAGGGGGACTCAGGGGACTCGCCATGCTGACCTGGCAAGATAATGGGACCTAGTGCGGCGGCTTGTGCACTGGCAACCACTAGAGGGCGCTTCCTGAAGGGCTAGACTGGTGATACTTTGGTTTTCTCTTTTCTGCGTGTTTCTCTCTCTCTCTCGCTCTCGCTCTCGCTCTCTCTCTCTCTCTCGCTCTCGCTCTCTCTCTCTCTCTCTCTCTGTGTGTGTGTGTATGTTTAAGACTTAGTTTATGCATGAGTGGTTTGCCTGCATTTATGTATGTTCCACACATATGTGCAGGACCCGTCTTAGTTAGGCTTTTTATTACTGTGATAAAATGCCATGACCAAAGCAGCTTGG